TACGGTGTTCGATTCACACGCGGGGGATACGTGGATTCGAACCATGACGGGGAACGTGGTGCTTGTGTTCTTGGGCAAGACACTTTACTACAATTGCATCTCTCCACCCAGGAGTATAAATGGGTACCTGTGAAGGTAGAGACCAGATTGCACTGATCTCGAGCTGCTGCAAAAAAATGGTCTCATGAACAGGGTAATGAAGCGCTTTCAGACCCTTGGTATAAAGTACGACATGAGTACCACATTATTATTATTATTATTGTTAAGTACCCATGTTTTTTTTCTATGATAAGCCATAAAAGTAATTCTGATGTAAGGATATTTCCTTGCACTCATCTTCAGGGTCAGCTGCTTCAGGTTCTCTCCAGACTCTTCCCCTTCAAGCGTGGCCTGTGTCACTCCTACTGGGCTCCCAACTTCTGGGCTCTCTACAACTTTGCAGACAAGGCAGTCACCATAACAGGTACTTTCTGTGAAATTGTGTTCACCTTGCAACAGGTGGTCAACGAGAGTAGTCCATATAACATTAGTCCATCACCTGCTGTGGAGTGTTGTATCTTGCAGAGGTCTATCGCAAGTTATCCAGTCCCTCAACCCAGTCACAAGCCAATGAATTGTGACGAAGGCAGCACTGTGTTATTGTTTATCACTTGTTACTTTTGGCAGAACTAAATGAATGACTTGTGATTTACTTATGACTAGACTTGTGAACAGACTTGTGATTTACTTATATAAGATTTGAGGCTTTGCATGGTGGAATTTCGGTATCGTTTCGGTTTGCGGTAACACCATGTGGTAATAACTACTGCTTAGGCCAAAACAAAAAGTCTCCGGTTTCTGGTATGCACGCGCGTCGCCGTAGCCGTGCGCGTCGGCAAAATGAATTTTTTTTCAATGTAAGATGATGTCTTAAAACCGCCAAACTCACTGGTTTGACTGGAATCCCGTTGCTGCACAATTTTAACGTGTTTTTAGATGGGGTTACGATCGAGTATAAGCTTTATGTGGCCTCTCTGGACTCCCATATATTTTGCACTAGTCTGGCACCATTTGCAGTCATCAGCCGACATTTGAAGAAAAAAAAAGGAAAAAAAAAAAAAAAGCCGCGTCGACACACCACTTTTGGGGCAAGCTCCATACCAGAAACCGCAGACTTTTTTTTTTGGCCTTGGAAGATATTTAGTTCTGAAAAAGAACTTGTCCTGCTTATTATCAACTTTCACTATGTAGGGTTTGTTCTGATAAGAACAGTCCTGCCTTAAGTTCTAAAAGAACTTGTTTTTGGTCTCAACGTTAGCCTGCTCTAGTCATTGTCAGGAGACTTGTGATTTACTTGTGACTAGACTTCAGATTGGACTTGTGATTTACTTCTGATTGGACTTGTGCATGGACTTGTGATTTACTTGTGACAGAACTTGCAATGAACTGGACTACAACACTATTCAAATGTTTGCTTGTTCTCTGCTCACAAGGTTTGAAACTGGAGTTGTTTTCTGCCGAGAGCCTTCAGGATCAGCAGGCCTCGATGACCGGTGGTCTGGTGCAGGAATACCAGCACACAGTCTTGCCTTCTGTACCTCCCGTAGTCACGCTGGTGCTCACGGTACTATCATCACTCGTAAGTCTACAAAACAAAGCTGCATTTTGCTTGAGATGTTGGGTTTTAAACTCAGTTATGTTATACTTGTGTGAGTAGGATTTCAAAGTGTGCATGATGGAGAAATGTAGTTGGAATTTTTTGGCAGCATCGTGCAAAAATCCTCTTGTGAGTTTAAGAAAGATGGTTCTGAGAGAATCAGTTGGGAAACAACTCAATGATTAGCTCAAGTTGCCCAAATTTGATGAACTTGATGGTTTATTTATTTTGCAGATCTGAAGATGATCACACCATAATAATCGAAATGTTGAGTTGTTTACCCACTGGTTTTTCTGAGAAAACTACCATTTAAAATTGAAGACAAACATTTTGACCACCTTTGAGAGCGCAAGTGGAGGACATACTAGTCTGCACTAGAAAGCAGGAGGTCGTGGGTTTGAGTCCCACCTGAGTGATTTTTTTCCAACTTTCACTCGGGAGGTAACACACTGAGTATACAGTGTTTATACGTCGGTGAAGGGCAAAACCTAATATTGATTTACATCACCCGACGCAAAATTCCATCTTACGTATGGAGGGACATACCACATGCACACACGATTTTTGTCATTTTGAATGTGCCAAAACGATGGCATCTTCATGAGAATCTGAGAGTCCGTCAGGATTGTGTTCAAATGTTTTTCTCCTTGGTCTCCCCCAACTCTGTATGCAACCTTTGAGGGAATACTTGTGCACAGAACCCAGTGCTAATGATGAAACATCTTGAATTCCTGATGAATCTTCTTTATTTTCTGCATTTTAGCCAGCCTTGCTTCACCTCTGGAGATACCAAGTGGTTCCAAGGGTTTCATACGTTGCCTCATACTCTGTGCCTACAGCTCTTTCATGTTTGGGTACCACGTGCATGAGAAGGCTATCCTACTTGTCATCATACCACTCAGGTGAGTCATACTCATGAAACAGCAGTAGGGATTCAAGCTTCTCTGTTCTAAGAATCAATAGTTTTGCATACTTTGTGAATATACTTGATGACTTTTGAATAATCGTTTTGTCAACGAATATTCAGGACTGTTGGAAAAGAAAGAGCACTGGTAATATTTCTTATTCCTTCTCACATAAACAAAATTAAATAATCACTTATTACCGATTAGTGATGCGATCAAGCTAAATGAGTCGTTTGTCGGGACTTTTCATTTGGAGATATAGGCCAAATATGGCCACTTCATCACATCACTTCATCACATCTCTTGGTGTTCCGACCTAAAAATGTTATCAGCATGCGGTTTTCACAGCAGAAATGCCGAGATTGTGCTAGTTTCAAATCTGTAATAAACTTTCTTTTGACCAGGGTCGACAAACAACTCATCTAGCTTAATCGCATCACATTTATGCCAAATATTATTTTTATAAAGTTTCCAGTAAAAAAAAGTTTATGTCATTTTCAGCTTACTCTTTCACACATATGAATTTCAAATCATCCAGTTTATGCCTGTGTCACATGAAGTTTGCAATAAGGATGAGTATTTTTGTTTACCATGCCAGCCTCCTAGCCATGGAAAGTTTAAAGGACGCCCAGGTCTATCTCATGGTATCCACTGTGGGTCACTACTCCCTGTTCCCACTGCTCTTCACACAAGCTGGTGAGTGCATCAGAAATTAATGTCTGGAAATTACAAACTCGCACCTTGTTCCTTCCATGTTTGTTGCAGTTTCTTTCATCCAATCCCCTTCACTCTCTGATTTTTTTTGTCTTTTCCCAGAAACAGCGATTAAAGTCCAATATGAGTGAATTGATATGAGTTATCTTTTTGTCTTTTTTCCCAGAAACACCGATTAAAGTCTGCCTGATGTTGGCTTGCACAATCTTCAGTGTCATTGGTACAACCAACATTCACAGGTATGCTGCAACTATTTTAACATCCCACAATGGGCTCGGTGCGCCAACGAAAGAGGGCGCCCTTTTACCTACCAACGACGTCCCATGGGTGGGACATTTAGCTGGTTGACGCGCACCATTCCTTGTGTGTGCCGCACGTACACCAGGGGATTTGTACTATGTACACGCAGTGGTACGGCCGTGCGTCGCGGCAAAATTGCAGTCAGGCAAGATGGCGTCGGTCGGTCACCCCCAACTGTACTTTCTTTGCCGGTGAGGGGGTACTTGTGAACGGAGTGGATAGAGGGTGTGCACGGCCATTTTCCCATGGTAAATACATGCGAGATTTGACCTCAGTGAGATCAAGTTGTGCATCTCTCTATAAAAGGACTGATGACGTCATAGGCATGGACCTTATTTTTACAGACTGAAGAGGATGCAAAGAAGAGCAAAATGAGCAAAGGCGGGAAGGGGGCGGGGGTTGAGCCCCGTCATGCCCATTGTTTCACCAGTGAATTTCTGTCCAATGAAAAATATCTGTTTTTATCTCTTTCCCCCAATCATTCAGATACACCAGCAAGATGCCCAACCTGATTCCGAGCGTCTCCATGCTATCCACCACTGAAACTCTATACGTCCTCGGTCTGGTACCACTCTTCATCTACAAGAACCTCCTGCACAGTCTGGTGCCGTCACTGCAGAGATACGAGTTTTTACCGTTGATGCTGACGTCGGTATATTGCGCTTTGGGCATCACCTATGCCTGGATTAAACTAAATGTGGTTACGTTGGGGAGAGGGGGTGGGAGACAAGACAAATCCAGTTGAATTTTTTTTTTTTTTTTATTATTTTTTTAAGTTGATAAATTTATAGACAGAGGGGTAAAGGCAGATATGTGTGTTTTGGTTCAAACTGGTTTTGAGTGGTTTTCTACATTTTCTGCTAATTGAAAGTTTCAATTTGGATAGAATTTAAAGACTTTACTGATAATCGTTTAGACCAATTTAGGACTCTACAGTCCATGCTACTGGTACATTACATTGGTTTTAGTATTTGATTTTTTTAGGATAAATACCTCGGGAAGTAAAGGAAAACTATTTATCCTGATGGCATTGAAAATGGTCTTTAAAGAGGTGATTTTGTTGTTTAAACCTTGAATGTTCCATTGATCAAAACGGTTTATTTAAAAAAATGGCAACTCAATCATAAGTGATCTGCTTTCATTATGTTACAAAATTTCTTGTCATTGGCAATTTGAGGAAGGGAAAAAAATCACTAACTAACCCCGTGGCAGTTTGCTTTAACTTGGATTGTTTCTTGTTTTGCTTTTTGTCCGAGTAAATAAACAAAAGGTTTTATCCTTGACACTCTAGTAATAATAATGCTATGTGTACTTGTCATGTAATTTTCTAACAATTTGTGCAAAAAGAGGTGATGTATTGTTCACTATGTTCATTATTTGGTTATTTTGAAGAAAAAAAACCCTTCGATTTGAGATGGGGGGGGGGGGGGGGTGGACACCATCAAACTATCGGTGAGGCTGTCCGAAGCTGGCAACCATGGACAGTATGGAACAATAGAAAGTGCTCTTCATTGCAGTACACTTGCCGATGGATACGCGAGTTTTTACCGGAAAACATTTCATTGATCAAAATGCCGAATTAGATAAATTAATGAGGGGGGGGGTGCATTCCGTCGCACCCCTGGCCAACTAGGCAGAATATTTTGGTCTGGATCTATAATCATTACACTTGGCCCTGTCCATTAAAGTTAAATACCGCCCTCTTTTGACAGTGGATCTATAATCATTACACTTGGCCCTGTCCATTAAAGTTAAATACCGCCCTCTCTTGACAGAGTCCTTCTCTCGGGGGTTTTCGAAATTGTGATTTATTTTTCAGATGGGGCTCTATTTCCAAATTTATAGAAGCCTTTTTACGCCCGAAACATATGAAAAACTCTTTTACGTGTATCGTAATATACAATTTGCTATCACTGAGTTAGTAGCTGAAGCAGAACATTGACGTTTTACTGATAATAAGTCATCCAAGTCTGGTCTAAAATATCACGAAGCCGAAGTAATGAAGCCCGGATTTCGACAAAGCCTCACAGAGGCAAAGAAAAATATAGCCCCATAGAGGTCTATTCTGATGAATGTCCGTGGTCTAAGTTTGGTCCAGTCCGAGGTCCAATAAAAAGCATTCGAAACTGTTTTAATTCCAGTCAGTAGCCACAATATTTTTTGTGAGATTTACAGTCCATTTTTATACTGTCTCCCAAGTAATGCCCCTGAAATTGATGCACAATTTGACCCACCTAGCCTTCAAATCGGACCCTAATTACGCCACTGACTTATAATCCTGATTTCTTTCTTTTTACACCACTGAAATTAATTTGGTTGGATTTCTTTTGACATGGAAAAATCACATGCATTTTCCCATATAGGCTGCATCCGAATCAACTGTCTAGAGCTAGGTCTAGGTCCGCGCCCATTGAAAATACGCGGGGACGCGCTGACAATAGACGTAGCCTAACCATCCTGTTGCAATTTTTCTGGATAGCGCTGCGACTAGGCAAGTCTACAAAACCGGTTGGAACCGGTTGGAACCGCTTTCGAGTCAAATTTCCCTTCCCGCCTAAGCAATAAACTTCTCACCTGTTTTAGTCGGTCTTAACCAATCAAAATGCTCAGATTAATAAAGCGCGGTCACTCTTCACACTTCTGGCCAATCGCAATTGCCCGTTAGCATTACGTCACCGGTCTTCTATCGTCTGACTCTGATTCCGAAAAAAATAGAGCCTAAAGTTTGATGAAATAAATGTTATTCATCATAAATTTCACGATTTTTCTTATTATCTAATCGACCGCATTCATTACTTAATTTATTTATATATTTTATTTCAAAATGTACTTTAAAGACAAAACAATCGTGAAAAATTGCATTAGCGGAGTAATACAATGGACTGTTAGCCCTAGGTGCGCGTACAAAAAAAACTGCCCATCTTATCACTTTTATCTCACTCCGCAGATGAATTTCAACGAGAGAGGACCTCTGAAAGTTTGCTCCTCGTAACGGTCGCGACTTTTTCGCATCATCTCAACTAATGTGCACACAAAGTTGTAAATTCATCCTGGCATCCTCCATTGGTCTTTTCTGAACTGGCTGCTCTTTCTCCGCCAGCTCAGCGCATAATTTCAAACCATCTTCTCTTCAAAAGGCACTGTACAAGCCACTGCATCAACACAGGTTTCGCCCGGCGGAGAATCCCGTCAGGGCCTGGCGAGTCGGCACATTTACAAGCTCGGAGCGGAGTCCTGAGTACCGAGCGTCACAAATTGCGTCAAACTGAAATTGAATGGAACTGAACAAGAAACAAAGTAGGCGTACGGAACGTGTTGAACTCGAACTGAACCTCGACTTGGAGGATGCTCTAGCTCCACGCAAGAATATCTGGGGTGAGTGAAAGCTATTTTCATGCGATGAATTGTATAAGAAACACATGTTTTCGCTACTTTCTATTCCTCTTACATGTTTGAAAACTATTTGACATTCCTAAATTGTTTGGGGAAAAAATGCACTTCTTTAAACATTAGGGAAAAAACCTGCCTCTCCAGTCAATTGTGGGCGCTATTGCTGTAATGTCCTCCACTAACAATCTAGCCGTAACGTTGCGGTTTCTGCCCGGAATGACACCCACAGTTTTGCTAATGAATAGCCTATGGAAATTTGCATCAGCATAACAACCAAAAAGGCACGAAAATACCCCTCAAAATGAAAAAAAAGAAAATTGAAAGTAAGGTTAAAATGGGACTCAAATGTGTATTTTCAAGGATGGCATTACAAAAATTACATTGCATGTTCTTTAAACTTTGACAACAGCTTTACTTAATGTATTGTATACGATTTTCATTTTAGTGTAAAAATTCCCCTTATTTTGTGTTGAGTGCTATGTTGAAGTCAAAGGTCATGTGCCTACATTTTCTAAAAGCTTCACCTAGGCATTAATATTAAATTCCACTCTGTTCATTCTAAACTGTAAACTAAGTTTAGGCCATTGTGTGGAGTATCAAAAGACATCTCTGACACCCTCTTCAAGTTAATTTGCATATCGATCAATCTGGCTCATGTGATGACATTGTATTACATTTTGGCACCTGTGAACAAAATAGTAGGCGTGGCTACAGGCTCAGCTAATCCCCAAAAGTTTTTGAACTTGTGCCAAGTCTTTGTATTGTGGCCACTGTATGGTGGCCAGGTGATGTTTATCAGCGGACCAAACATGTTTTTCCTGGGTGGAAAATAATTGACAAACCGTGAAACGCTAAAAATATTCAGTTGGTCATCAAAAACACTTAACTATACTTAACCTTTATTTTTATAATATTTTTATGAATTAGTGTGTACTTTTGGTCTTTTTCCCTACATTCCTAAATACATTATCCACAGTTACTTTTGGGTGTTCACTCTGTAATGATTAACCTTTTTAATAATAGTATGATGATTGGTCAGTGGTAACAGCTCCCCCATTGAAAGTATGGTATGAGCCCCCCCCCCCCCCCCCCCCCCCCCCCGAGCTTTTTTATGTTACGGATGGCAAGTGTCCGGAGAAAAAAAGTGTCTACATTTCAGATTTTTTTTGTGCCGATAAAACCCCACCCTGAAAATTCCTGGATCCGCCCCTGGGTAACCATGTCAGTAAAATGCATTTGCATCAATAGACTCCTCGTTGTCAACGTTGAGGTCAAAATGAGATCAAAGCGAGGTCATAGTTCATAAAGTTGAGCTTGGTTGTTGGATGGTCCTTCAACTTCATATTTTGGAGAAGCCAAATGTTTTAAGAAGGCAGTGTTCAAGTGCAGAAACAATCCTCATATTTTCTACACAGTATTTATTCATCAATGTGTTGGTGAAATGAAACAATGTGTTCAGTGTTTGGAAAGGCCAGCTTTTTGTTGTAAGTTTGTGTTTCTATTTTGCGTGCATGTACATTGTACAGTGTCTGCGTGTGTGAATACGTGTGTTGACTTGAACATAAAATTTAGTGCTGTAGCATTATATGAGTATGTGTTACATGCTCTGTTCCGTTATGAGCAAAGCGTAGTGATGTATCTGCATTATCATTTCTCTTTGTGTTTTAATTAATCCTGTTGGCTGCCCCGGAAGGCAAGATGTGATTATTTTAAAAATCATAATACAGTGAAATCTCGATAAGTCAAAATCTGATAACTCAAAACAACTGTTAACCCTAAAAGGGTTAACAAGCAACTTTTTTCTGCTACTTGTAAATAAAAAATCCTGACCCGAGCTTTCCTAACTTTTTAGCCTAGAGTCTTGCATATCTTTTGATACCAGAAAAATTTTCTGTGAAAATTGAATGTTCCCATGTAGTGTACACAAAGCAGAATTACCATTGGTGCATATGAATAATTAATTAGCCATAATTCCAAAACCCTTAAACCCAATCATGACATTTCTTGGGTATGTTCATATTAACTTGTTCTATGCATGCACCAAGTTTCATAATTTTTCGGCACTTGATGGCCGACATCTGAGGGGGGGGGGGGGGGGGGAACCCCCCCCCCCCCCCCCCGGTTTTGAGATATAGGGTTAAGTCAAACAAAGAATCCTTTGCCTTCAGTAGTATAACATTGATATTCAACCCTGCTTCAATCAAAACTGTGATAAAATCAAATTTCAAGATTTCACTGTAGTACAAGTGGTAAAGAACCAAACACTGTGGAGCAGTTAAGAGCTATGCGATGTAACTTGTTAATGCAATACTTGAAAATGCACCTAGGCCGGGGGGGGGGGGGGGGAGTGGTTCAAACACCCCCCCCCCCCCCCCCCCCCCGTTAAAATTAATTTTTCCATAGAAATTCCTAAAGATAAAACATAATGTATTAATATACGCCAGTGCCCAAAATATGGACAGAGCCTGTTGTAGGTATGGGGGGATTTGTACACTATCCTGTAATAAATAGTGTTTAAATAGTGTTAATAATTGACGGATTACAGCGCCCCCATTGAAGTATGGTACGAGCCCCGATGACACCCCCCCCCCCCCCTTGATTTTGTCCGGACAAAAACCATGTCTACATTTCAGCTTTGATTTGCTGATGAAACCCCCCCCCCCCTACAAAAATTCCTTGATCCGACCCTGGCACCTTTGCGTTCCATTTAACGGTATTTTTTTATTTTTGGCATTTTCAAGGGTATTTTGGTGCCGTTTAGGTTTTTTACTCATTCTAATTTCCATATTAATAATCAAAAGTGTGTCATTCAGGCAGAAACCTCAATGCTACTGCTATTTAAGCATCACAAATTGTCAGAATTTTGGATATTTTGCTGTCGTAAATTTTCTTTTTCTTTGGTAGACAACTAAAGTTGTTGTATCAGTACATTGCAATATAAAGTCAATATGAGCACATTTTTGTCATGAATGTTTTCAATAAGCAAATGGTTTGGTTAACAATTTGAACTGAAAAAAACCCTGAAATGAGATTACAGCAGCACAATGGAGAAAATAATGAAATTTCAAACAAAGTTTACAGAAGTGCACTTTTCAATAAAATTCACTAAAATGGGATATCAAGTAGTTTTATTCATGTATATATAGGAGCAGAAAGTTGCAAAAAGTGTGTTCCTAAGAAAAATTCATGTCATTGACCATTTAAGCGAGCCTCTTAACAACTTTAGGAGTTGTCGTGTAGTATAAACCCTCAATTATTTTTTAAAAAAAATGCATAATCATAAAATTAATTTCTATAACATTTGACTATCTTGTGACAATGCCATCAGCATACTGGTGTAAAAACTGGTGTTCTTGACTTTTTATTTTCTTTTGTGGTTAAACGTTACAAACCAATGGAATGCTGCCCTCTGTTGACAGAGTAGATCAAAGAGAAAATTTCAAGTGCGATCAGTGAACAAAATGTATTATTGTCAGTTCATGTATCCATACTTGAAAAAGGTGGTACAACCTAAGTTGCATTGGCTTGAATAACAATTTATTCAAAGGAAAAGTTGATTCTATGTGGAAGGGATCCACTTTAAACTAAAATATGACAGTGTCTGGCACAGTGCATGCTTGCATGGAGAGAAAACCCAAACTTAGAACCCAAGAATTGTATAAAATAATTTCATATCTAGGCTAGTTTTCACTCTTCTTGTCAGGTTCCCTCTCACAGACTGAAGTGCATCTCTTGCCAATCCTGATTTTGAACTGTTTTCTTCTCTCTTTGTTTTTGACATGTCTATAGAAATGGCAGCCTGTCATATCTGGATGAGAGTGGTCAGATGAAGAGGCTCCAGGCTTCTTGGTGAGGCCCCATTGCTGCTAGGAGGAGGACGCAGGGAGGAGAACCTACGGAGGACTGTGGACACGATTCTTTATGAAGAGAAAACCCCACAGGATAATCGGGCAAGAAACTTCATTATTACTAATTTAAAAGATATTTCAAGAGATGAAATGAATAAGACTTAAGGGTTTGCATAGTGGACATTAATGGGAGGATTGTCGTATATAGCACCATGTGAATGGTGTCTCTTAGCTTAGTGAATTGTGTGGTTCTGAGAAGAACCAGTTAAAAACAGATAAAATGGACTTCAGCGGCTTGCGTCTGGAACAAGGTCAGACGCCAAGAACACTGTCAGAATGAAAAGGCTTGATGCCTTATAAATCTTATTATTGAACCATCAATGATATTCCAAGTTATACAATTCAGTGAAGACGAACTGCAATGAACATTAGTCACACTACTTGGAATATGATCCATCAGCCTTATAATAAGGTTTATCATAAGTCAATAGTAAAACAGGACTGTTTATACGACTTATTCCATGAGGAATACAAAGAAGAACTGAGATGTCACAGTGTCTTAATTCAGTGAAGATGAACTGCAATGAACATTAGTCACTACTTGGAACATGATCAGCCTTATAAGAAGGTTTATCATAAGTCAATAGTAAAAAAGGACTGCTTTCCATGAGGAATACAAAGAAGAACTGAGATGTCACAGCATCTCAATTAATTGAAGATGAACTGCAATGAACGTTAGTCGCACTACTTGGACTATTATCCGAAAAGCCTTATAATTAGAAAACGACTACTAATGCGACTCATTATTCGACGAGGAAGACAAAGAAGAACTGACATGTCACAGCGTCTGGGGCGCTGTCCTTATACGCATTTTAAACAAATTTACCTTGCAAAGCAAACAATTTTCAAAAACTCTGAGTCATCAATATGGGCACTGGTTGATACTTTGTTTCTATAAATATAAAGAAAGAAACTGATTTCATCCTGCCTGATATTGAACATAAAAACCATTAGAGAGTCAAATTATAATTTGTGAACTGAAAAAAAAAATCAGTTTGCTCTTTACAAAGGTGATGATGATGATTGAAAGTAAGAAGAAAAAAAGTCAATCATCACTTTGCCCATAGTAATGACTGTTTAAGAATTGATCTGTGTGTATGATGTGATTATTTCTTGTGTACGTTGTGATTATTTTGTGTGTAGGTGTGATTATTTCTTGTGTACGGTGCAATTATTTCTTGTGTACGGTGTGATTATTTCTTGTATATGGTGTGATTATTTCTTGTGTGCGGTGTGTTTTCTTCTTATGATTTTTAAAGTTTCTAGTCTCTGACTGATCACAGATCTGCAATACTCGAACAAAAAAATCACAACTGTAGAGAAAGAAATAATACTTGAAATCAGTGTTATTTAGTTCTCCAAGGTACAATACGACAAAATAGGATACAACAGTGTTATTTATTTCTCAAAGGTGCGATTTACGATACGATACGGTAGCGATGGTGAGAGAAATAATATTTGGAAAAAGTGTTATTTTCTCAACCAAAAAATGTTACGAAATGTTATTAACAAACGAGATAGAAACAAAATTATTTACGATACGAAACAACTATACGAGAGCGGTAAATTTCTATTTTTTCCCTTGAAAAAATCAGCCATGAAATGACACGTGTGAAAGAAAATGATACTAGAAATCGTGCAACCTACAAAAGAAAAAAATGCAAGGAAAATTATGTAACGGTGAAATAAAACAAAGTAGCGGTGAGACAAATTGTATTTAAAAAGAAAGAAAATGTAAAGAAGGAAATGATTCTTTATCTCAAAGGTGCGATACGACACGCCACGATACGATACGACACGATACAATACCTCATGGTACAATACGATACGATAGCGATGGTAAGAAAAATAATATTTGAAAAAGTGTTATTTTTCTCACCCACAAAGAACGTAGGGAAAGAAATAATACTTGAAAATCTGTGTTGTTTATTTCTCAAAGGTGCGCTACGACAAGACACGATATGACCCGATAGGATATGATACGATATGATACGATAGCGGTGGTCAGAAATATAATATTTGAAAAAGTGTTATTTTTCTCACCCACAAAGAACGTAGGGAAAGAAATAATACTTGAAAATCTGTGTTGTTTATTTCTCAAAGGTGCGCTACGACAAGACACGATACGACCCGATATGATACGATATGATACGATACGATACGATACGATACGATACGATACGATACGATACGATACGATACGATACGATACGATACGATACGATACGATACGATACGATACGATTCGATACGATACGATACGATACGATAGCGGTGGTCAGAAAAATAATATTTGAAAAAGTGTTATTTTTCTCACCCACAAAGAACGTAGGGAAAGAAATAATACTTGAAAATCTGTGTTGTTTATTTCTCAAAGGTGCGCTACGACAAGACACGATACGACCCGATAGGATACGATATGATACGATACGATACGATACGATACGATACGATACGATAGCGGTGGTCAGAAAAATAATATTTGAAAAAGTGTTATTTTTCTCACCCACAAAAAACATAGAGAAAGAAATAATACTTGAGAGAATTTCGAATTTTCTTACCTCGGCCACGAAATGATCCGTTTGAAAAAAAATATTAGAAATCTGGCAGCCAAAAAAAAAAAAAAAAATGGGCGAAAATTGAAATTATGGTAAAAAAAAGGAAATATGCGGTGGTGCATGAGACGAATAATATTTGTTAAATTTGTTAAATTGTGTATTTTTCTCACCCACAAAAATACAACTATGATTCCAGCTTGAAACTCAAGAGCGAGAACATACCTTTTAAAATCAGTAATATTTTTACTGCAAAAAAATTTAAACGAAATAAAGGACAGACAATAAAAAATCGTTGCGAATTTATTTTATTGGAAAAGTAAAACGGTAGTGATGAGAAAACCAATCTCAGGACATGTCATGTGTCACCTTCACAAGATTTAGTTCAGCCGTGTCTAATAATGTTTAATTAAACAGTAAGTCCGATCTATAAATGCATCGGCAGGGATCCCTGTGGCTTTATGCCACCTTCGAAAGGTTTTTTTCCAGCCTGTCTTGAATTTTAAACAGTAAGTCCGATATTCAACGATCGGCAGTTACACTTCTGATATTTATCTCCCTCAAGAGCTTTTTAAAGTCTTATCTAAAACCAAAGACAGTGACTCTATTTATGGCATTGTGCCATCTCCAAAAGTAATTCTTAGTCATGTTTTGCATTAGAAAAAAAGTAAGTCCGATCTTCAATGATTGGCATGGATACTTGTGGCATTATGTCACCTGTAGTTATATTCTTAACTTGCCTTCGATTTAAACTGAGACCAGTCTGCAACGATTGGCGGAACGTGTACGATATTATTTTGCCATTGGTAGTCATGCATATATGTATTTGTATATAGTTTGATTGATTTATGTAGGTTTTTTTTTTACCTTTTTCTCTTGATACACTTGTTTTCTTCTTTCCTTTCCTCATAACAACTATTTTGTTGGTTGGGATTTTAATAAAATTAAGTGTTTTCTAACCATCTGTAGAGATACAGTGTGACCTAGCTAAGCTGGGTCGAGTTTTCTTTCTCCCTGTAGCTCATTCAGCCAAGAGAATGAACATCTACAAGCGTAAGACTGACTGGATGAGGAGAGGATGCTTTGTCAGGATGGAAACAAATCCCTCTGAGGAACCGGAAGCAGGGAGGAGGACCGACGGATGAACCGATGACTCTGCTTGTAGGGCTACCCATTTCTAATTCCTAAGGTAAGTTTTCAAAAAGGTTCTTCTCACAAAATGACTGCATTTGTCATCAAGTCTGTAGTTTTCTTCCCACTTTGTTTTGGAGACAAACATACCTGGATGAAATGGTAAGATCTGGTTGAGGATTAAACTGAGGAGTAAAAGGCAGGGAGGAGACCTGCTTGCCAGGCTTAACTTATCTGATTTTTGAGTTTTCACTCGTCTGATTAGGTTTCCCCTCGCAGAATGAATTGATTTTCTTGTCAATTCTGATGCTAAAATGTCTTCTTTTCTCTTCGTTTTTAATCTTTTAATAGAAAGCGGAGCCTAGTGTACATGGATGACAGTGGCTGGATGAAGAAGCTCATGGTTGAGGATGACCTTGCCCTCCCGACACCACTTCAGCTGAAACTAAGGAGCCGTAAGCAGGGAGGAGGACCAACAGATGAACGGATGACCTGCTTGTCGGGCTTCCCATTTCTGATTTTTGAAGTGAGTTTCAAAAGGAAAAACAAATAAACAATTGTTAACTGTCATAAAACAGACTATTCTTCACTATTCTGGTTAGGTTCCCCTTCACAGAATGAATTACTTATCTCATCAATCGTGCATCTGAAATGTTTTCTTTTCTTTTTGTTTTTTATCTGTTAATAGAAAATGGCGCCTGTTATACATAGATGAGAGTGGCTAGATGAAGAAGCTTTTGGTTGAGGATGACCTTGCCCTTCGACACCACTTCAGCTGGAACTAAGGAGCCGGAAGCAGGAAGGAGGACCAACGGGAGAACGGATGACCTGCTTGTCAGGCTTCCCATTTTTTATCTTTGAAGTAAGTTTCAAAAAGGAAAACAAATGAACAAAGGTAAACTGTCATAAAAAGAGTAGTCTTCACTGGTCTGGTTAGGTTTCTTCTCACTGAATGATTTACATATCTCATCAATCCTGATGTTTTCTTTTCTCTTTGTTTTTTATCTGTTATTAGAAAATGGAGCCTGTTAAACGTGGATGAGAGTGGCTGGATGAAGAAGCTTCTGGTTGAGGAAGACCTTGCCCTCCCCCACCCTACTTCGGGCTGGAACTAAGGAGCTGGAAGCAGGGAGGAGGACCAACAGATGAGTGTTGACTCTGCTTGAGAATTTGTGAGGTGGATTTACTAACAAATAATGATTTAACACATTGATGTAAAAAAAAAAAGAGAACAATGCCTGGAGCATTGCCTTGACAGTTACAATCCTGAAACAGAGTACAAGACTTTTTAAAAGACTCTCCTCATGGGTAAGGAAACAGAACTTACACAAGAAAATATCAAAATAAATGAAAGTCTGTTTTACTTTTGTTGCCAGCCAAACAGGAATTGTTACTAATGTGACCTAGTTTGCCTAGGCCGAGAAGTGTTTTTTTTTTATTTTACAGGATGGAGATTGTCATAGGGAAGATCTCAAGCCATTACTTGAGGAGAATGAAAGATGTCTGGCAACCGGAAGCAGGGAATGACTGATGAGCCTACTTGCTCAACATGACATCTGTGATACATGAGGTAAGTGTAAACACCCACCTCCCCCCCCCCCTAAAAAAAAAATGAATGTTGAATTCTGAATCTTGAAAAGTTTAACAGTGTGACAAACCTGTTAAAATTGTCAATTTAATACTGTGCCTTTGGTCTTTATACTTTTTACAGATTCACCAAGATGTTAACCATCAACAACAGCATATTTACGGAGATGGCTTGCCAGCTAACGCCAACACCCCCCCCCCCTTACCAGAACGAAAAAAACAATTAAAAATTTACTGCAACAAATAAAATTAGAATGTTATCTCTTACTTTGGACTAAGCAAAATGTTAAGAGGCTATGGGATACCTCCACCCTGCCTAATCGAATGAGCCTGCCTCATGCACTTAAAAGAAATGGTGCTCACTTTTAAATAAAATCAAAACTTTGAGGATTCTTTTCAGTCAAAAAAACATCCAGACATGGAAATTACACTGTGCTTATGTTTTTGTTTGTTTGTTAGCATGAATTCACTGTTCGTTTTTGGCATGCGTTGTTCCTGCACGTTTTATCATAATTACCGCACCTTTTGGTTTTTATAAGCAAAAGGATAACCACAGTGTATGGCCATAGTCTGAGAATTACTACATTAAAAAACTCTTAACATATTAAGCTGAATTTGAAACTAATAATTAAAAAAATCAAAATAACATCAACATCACTTCAATGCGTCATGTATTTTGATGGGGGGTGGGGTCATCCCCTAGCCTTTGTCTCCCTTTCGCACCTTATCCTTTGATGTCACAAAAAAAATCTGACAAAAAAAAGAAAAAGAAATGACCATCTCCTCATCCTTGAAACATTGAATTTTTTCAGGGAATTGGCTTTTTAGTTGGAAAGCCTCCCTTTCAACAATGAAAAACACTCATTTATTAAAGCATTTAAATAATTGTCTGTAGTAAGGTTCCTTCTATCGTTTTCCTTAACTTACTATTGTCTGTCATAAATCAAATGACGATGTCAACGAATACATCTGAGGAAGAAGCCACTGGTTGAGGATGACATTGCACTCCCCGTCCCAGGAGCCAGAAGCAGGGAGGAGGACCAACAGATGAACTGATGATTCTGCAGTGAGCTAGCCATTTCTGAATTTCAAGGTTAGTTTCCTCCAAAAGAAAATAACAGAAAATAAAGATGCTGCCACAAATGGAAAGGCTAGTTTGTATAGCCTGTGCAGCTTAATTGCCTTGCAAGATAATGACACGAGTGCAGATTATCTTGAAATTAAACTTAACTTTGTTTCCACATTTGTTTTAATCATGTTTAGAAGCGAGGATGAGTCTTGGAATGATGGAGACTTGGAGATGCTGTTTGTTGATTTGACACACCCCAACCATCACAGACGTACCTGAGGAACCGGAAGCAGGGAGGAGGACCGACAGATGAACTGAAGACCCTACTTACTGAGCTAGCCATTTCTGATTTTTAAGGTTAGTTTCCTCCAAAAGGAAATAAAAAAGGAAGACGGTGCCATAAATTGAGAGAATCATCAGTACTGACTCATCTGGTGGTGCTTTGCTGCTTAATTGCCTCGCAAGATAATGCCCCGAGTGCAGAGTTCTTTTGTGTGTATTATATTAAACTGTTTTGGCCTTTTGTTCTCATATGATGAAGACCTGGAAAGTCTGTCTGTTGACTTGACAGCTGAAACCATCATCACATATGACTGAGGAACCGGAAGCAGGGAGGAAGAACGACAGAAGAACGGAAGACCCTGCTTGCTGGGCTGTCCATTTCTAATATTTTAGGTAAGTTTGAAAAGGGCAACAAATGGATAATAGAATAATGTCATGTCAAGACTAGTTTTCACTCTTCTGGTCAGGTTCCCTCTTGCAGACTGAAGTGCATCTCTTGCCAATCCTGATTCTGAATTGTGTTCTTCTCTCTTTGTTTTTGACATTTTAATAGAAATGGAAGCCTGATCTGGATGAGAGTGGTCAGATGAAGGGGCTTCTGGTTGAGGCTGACTTGTCCCTCCTCACCCAACTTCTGCTGACGCTAAGGAGGAGGAAGCACAGAGGAGAACCTACAGAGGACTGTGGACTCTGCTTGCTGAGCTTGCCAGGAATTCCTACAAACTTAGAAAATTTGACAGTGTCTGGCACACTGCTCCATGGAGAGATAACCCCACCAGATAATCAGGCAGGAAACTTAATTATAATTGAAAGAAATATTTGAATGGTCATTGACATTCCTAAAGATGAGATGAACATCAATGGCAACGTCTGGAACAAAGTCAGAACCCTGGAACATTGCCAGAATGAAAAAGGCTTAATGCCTTATTTATGTCACTATTGAACTGTCATTGACATTCCAACAATTCAGTGAAGACGAGCTGCAATGGACATTAGTCACACTACTTGAAATATTATCCTGAAGCCTGATAGATTGTAGGTTTATCATAATTATATAGTAAATATGAAAGGACTACTGATGAAACTTAAAATCCCAGGAGGAAGACGAGGAAGAACTGAGATGTAACAGCGCCTGGTGCGCTGTCATTGTATAATTTTTAAATATAATTTTCCAAAGTAAACATGATTTACAAAACAAACTGAGCAATCAATTGGCTGATACTTTGTATGAACTAAGGGGGAAAAAAAATTCTGTCCCGTCCTACAATAAACCTCAGTCCCCGCAAAAGAAAAACCCAAACATTATACAGACAGTTTAATAAAATTATTGTCTGTTAACCAAAGAAATTAATTTGCTCTAAATTTGAAAAGGTGATGATTGAAAGTAAGAAGAAAACAAAAGAATCTTCCATCATCACTTCAATCGTCATTTTACGCCCCAATTTGCATGCTTGCCGTGTACGATGTGATTATTCCTTGTGCACGGTGTGATTATTCCCTGTGTGTGTGGTGTATTTTCTTCTAATGATTTTTGAATTTTCTAGTCTCTGTTCACAGATCTGCAGTACTTTGACAAAAAAAAAGAGATCAAAATCGAAGTTGTAGAAAAAGAAATAATACTAATGAAATCAGTGTTATTTATTCTCAAAGGTGCTATACAACACGATACAATATGATTCAGTCACAAAAATGAGTTAATTGCAAGTGATATTTTTTCTCAAAGGTGCGATATGACACAAAACGAAGGCGGCGATACGACATGACACGATACGATATGTTGCGATACGATACGATACGATATACGATACGATACGGTGGTGAGAAAAATAATATTTTTAAAAAAGTGTTATTTTTTCACCCACAAAAATAATAATGAAATGATACTAAATGAAACGAAATAGAAACAAAATGATTTACGATACGATACGAAATGATACAAATCTTTTTCCCTCGAAAAAGTCTGCCACGAAATGATTTACTTTTAAGAAAATAATACTAGAAAATCGTGCAACCGCAACAAATGAAAGAAATGCGATGAAAAAAGTAATTGCAGATTAAGTTTGTTGGTGAGCATTATGGCACTATGCTGTCTCCCAAAAGTAATTTTTAGTCTTGCAATTGAGAAAATTGTAAGTCCGATCTTGTACGATCGGCCGGGATGTACTTGTGGCATTATGTCACCTGTGGTTAAATTATTGCCTTGTCTTCGATTTAGAGTGAGTCCAGTCTGCAACAAGTAGCAGACTGCGATAGTGACCAGAATATAAGCGATAGTGACCAGAATAACCAAGTGTATGCGACACCATCTCTCTTTGCAAATTGTTTCTTCGTCGGAATGTTCAGCTTTCTGTCTCCATTTTTAATCTGCATCTCGGGACATTGTGTCATGTGCCACCTTCTCTAGATTTATTTCAGCCATGTCATAATTTTTAATTAAATAGTAAGTCCGATCTATAAATGCATCGGCAGGGATTCCTATGGCTTTATGTTACTTTCTAAATTTTTTCCAGCCGTGTTTTGATTTTTAACCAGTAAGTCCGATATTCAATGATCGGCAGTAACACTTCTGATATTTGTTTCCTTCAGAATTTTTAATTTTGTTGATAAGCATTATGGCACTATGCTGTCTCCCAAAAGTAATTTTTAGTCTTGCAATTGAGAAAATTGTAAGTCCGATCTTGTACGATCGGCCGGGATGTACTTGTGGCATTATGTCACCTGTGGTTAAATTGTTGCCTCGTCTTCGATTTAGAGTGAGTCCAGTCTGCAACAAGTAGCAGACCGCGTTCAACTTTATTGCCTTCAGTATATAGTCGTATATGTATTTATAGCATTAATGGATTCATCAAAGTAAGCCCGATCGATATGCAGCTATTTTTAACACACTTGTTTCTTTCTTTTTTTCCCAAAATATCTATTTTGTTGCCTAAAGTAAGTGTTTTCTAACCATCTGTAGAGATACAGTGTGACCCAGCTAGGCTGGGTCGATGTTTCTTTCTCCCTGTAGCTCATTCAGCCAAGAATGAACATGTACAAGCGTGAGACTGACTGGATGAGGAGAGGCTACTTTGTCAGGATGGAAACAAATCCCTCCGAGGAACCGGAAGCAGGGAGGAGGACCGACGGATGAACTGATGACTCTGCTTGCAGGGCTACCCATTTCTTCTTCAAAAGGTTAGTTTAAAAAAAAAACGTTCTTCTCAAGTGCATTTGTCATCAATTCTTTTTCTGAAGTCTTCTTTCCTCTTTGTTTTTATTTTTTTATAGAAGATGGGAACTAGAACACCTGGAGGAAAATGGATAGGTGAAGAAACTTCTGGTTGAGGATGACCTTGCCCATGCAGGATGAATTCATATCTCAGTCCTGATTCTGAAATGTTTTCTTTTCTTTTTGTTTTGATCTGAAGAAGCTTCTGGTTGAGGATGACCTTGCCCCCACCTCACTTCAGCTGGAACTAAGGAGCCGGGAGCAGGGAGGAGGACCAACAGATGGATGGATGACCTGCTTGTCGGGCTTCCCATTTCTGATTTTTTAAGTAAGTTTTAAAAAGGAAAGCACATGAACAATGGTAAACTGTCATAAAAAGACCATTTATCACTAGTCTAGTTAAGTTACCCCTCGCAGAATGAATTACATATCTCATCAATCCTGATTCTGAAATGTTTTGTTTTCTCTTTGTTTTTGATCTGATAACAGAAAATGGAGCCATATACATGGATGACAGTGGTTGGATGAAGAAGCTTCTGGTTGAGGATGACCTTGCCCCCACCCCACTTCAGCTGGAATTAAGGAGCCGGAAGCAGGGAGGAGGACCAACAGATGAACTGATGACCTGCTTGTCGGGCTTCCCATTTCTGATTTTGAAGTAAGTTTCAAAAAAGGAAAACAAATGAACAATGGTAAAATGTCATTAAAAAAACTATTTTTCACCCTTCTGGTTAGGTTCCTCCTTGCAGGATGAATTACATACCTCATTAATCATGATTCTGAAATGTTTTTTTCTCTTTGTTTTTGATCTGTTAATAGAAAATGGAGCCTGTTATACATGGATGAGAGTGGATGGATGAAGAAGCTTCTGGTTGAGGATGATCTTGCTATTCCTGCCCCACTTCAGCTGGAACTAAGGAGCTGGAAGCAGGGAGGAGGACCAACAGATGAGTGTTGACTCTGCTTAATGAACTTGCCATTTGAGAATTTGTGAGGTGGATTTACTAAAAAATAATGATTTAACAAATTGATGTAAAAAGGAGGGCAATGCCTGGAGCAATGCCTTAACAGCTACAATCCTGAAACCAAAGTGCAAGATTTTCAAAAGGACTGTTCTTATGGATAAGGAAACACAACTTACACAAGAAAATATCAAAATAAATGAAGGTCTGTTTTACTTTGTTGCCAGCCAAACAGGAATTGTTACTAATGTGACCTAGTTTGCCTAGGCCGAGAAGTGTTTTTTTCCCCTATATTTCAGGATGGAGATTGTCACAGGGAACATCTCAAGCCATTACTTCAGGAGAATGAAAGATATCTGGCAACCGGAATCAGGGACCAACAGATGACTGACGAGCCTGCTTGCTGATCATGTCATTTCTGATACGTGAGGTAAGTTTATCAACAACTTAAATAAATATAAAGAACTCGCAAACAAAATCAAAACAACGACAACAACCACTAACAAAAATAAAGTGAACATCTTTCTGATCATGTACCATGTAGATGCTTAGACTGCTCTGCTGAATCCTAACATTTTCCTCCTGTACTTTTTAACTCTTTCAGAAGATGATGACCACCAAGCCTAGATGAGACTGGCTAGATGAGCAAGAGGATGTTTCATCCTGATGAGGATAACACCACTCCATCACTGATGAAACGGAAGATCTGGAGGTAAGGAAGATAACCAGGAGATGACTGATGACTCTGTTTGCTTACGTTGCAGTTCTGATTCTTGAGGTTAATTCTCCCTGAGAGATGAGAAAGATGGCTAGATAGATAAAGAAAAAAAAAAAAAAGGATATTTAATTGAGACTTTTTCTACTAGTATAATTTTGGGTCTCAATCAAAAAGAAACAAATCAAGAAATATTCTATGTATTTCATAAAAATGCATAGATTACTTTTCTGGTGGACGTGAAGGATGCATAATTATTGTAATTGATTTTACTTTTGTTTCATATTTTCTGATATATTCAGTTCTCTCTTTTAAACGTTTTAGGAGATGAAGACCATACATGCAGTGGATGAGGAAGAGGCTGTAGCTGGATCAGGATAATCCTCAACGCCTGTCTCTGATGAACCTGAGGAACTGGAGACAGGGAGAACACTGATTTCTGAGGTAAACTGACCCATGAAAATGTACTAAGCAGTAACCTGCGTTTGGTTCAGTCAAATCAATCAGCTACAGGGTGGAGCAACAAGAAGGAAACCCACTTTTGACAGAAATTTTAGCAAACTTATACTTATTAAAGTTATTATACTTAGTAAAGTTAAGCTCTTCAACCATACATGGTGAAAAAAATCTTTTATAAAATTGCAAGAATAGTGTTAATATGATAATTTGACATTTTGAATACAAGTCTCCAAAATCACTGTTGTACACATGTAAGTCTATAGTGTAGTAGGTTTTTTTTAAATCAAGCTCGGGAGCTCACTCAAGCAGATGGAATAAAGCCATCCGGGTTTGGCACATTACATTTTTTAAAGTACCATATCTCGGAGACAAAATATGCATTTGTAATAATTCTTTTGTCACTTACGTTTAAAGAAAAACATTTTAATATCACTAAATTGAATTTTTTAACTATCCTCAACAAGCAGGTATAAATTGCTATCAAAAGTGGGTTTCCTTCTTTTTGCACCACCCTGTATAATGTTTCACTAAGGTGTTCATAATTTGCCATTCAGGAAACAACAAGTACATGTAATAGCTAACTGCTTTGTGAGTCACATGGTTTGGCCTTCTTCTGCTGCAAAAGTGTTATGCTTCCTCAAATGTGACTGTTTGACTGACCTATTAGAATTACTTATCTAATGCTGTGTTTTTGGTCTTTATATTTTTGTAGATTCGCCAAGATGTAGCCACCAACGACAGCAGATACAGAGATGGATTGCCAGCTGCTGCTTGTCTACCCCCTTCCCTTTGACCACAGGATGAAAAATATATTAAAAATCCCCTCAAAACTTTGGAACTTGTTGATAAACTTTTGAACTAAGCTATAATCAGAGATGCCACTTTTCAGGTTTTAACCTGAATTCAGTTATTTTTTTCAAAAAATGTGACAAATTAAAAGTGCTGGATTTAGCATGAAACATCTAGAAAACACATTTTTGAAAGGGGGGGTTAAGGGTAGTTTTAGGTTTTTCAGTAGTGTTTCAGGCTTTTTATTGATGTACTGGTGGCATCTCTGGCTATAATGCTTTCAAAAATAAATTGATATGCCCAAAAAGCAATCTTGGACCAAAATCACTGATCGTTTACGAAACTAATAAAACCTGAAAACTCATATATACATTACAATTTGGCGAAAAGTTTTCTAAATGATTGAAATAATTATGTAACACAATTATTTAATTGTTAAAATGATTTTAATTATTCATGATAAATACAACTTCTGTGAAAGTTATAGCAGTACCACTCTCAGGCTCAACCCAATTTAACAATATAGATATTCAAGTTTACAAATATTTTGCAGTTTTCCCTTTAAAAAAGTTATTTTTGTGTCTAATTGAGGAGGCAGTTTCAAAATTCATGAAAATTTGGAATTACTGAGCAATGTTTATAATATACATGTATAGCTATATAAAACATGCTGTACAAAATGTCAGCTATACAAATGTTTAGGGTTAGAGGACCCCCCCCCCCAAAAAAAAGATACAGCCCACCTCAAACACTTACAAAAGGGTACTCACTTTTCACAAATATAAATAAAATTTTAACCTAAATTGGAGCGTTCTTTTCAATCAACAGGCATCTAGACATTGAAATTACACTGTGCTTATCTTTTTGCAACATTTGTTTGCACGAATTTGACTCGTTTTTAGTTTGATTTATTTTTCTTTTTTTTCTTTTTTTCTTTTGGGGGGAGGGGGTGTTTCTGCATGTTTCATCAAATTGCATGGTTTTACGAAGCAAAAGGATAAATACAGTGTTTGCCCAGTGTCATAATTACGACTTAAAAATAATAAGAAAATATTGAATTTTGATTTGGGGGGGGGGGGGACCCAAAGCCTCTGCCTCCTTTTTGCACCCAATCCTTTGATTTTACCAAACTATTGATGTAAACATCTGATAAAAACTGAATCTTTTAGTTGTTATCTTGATAAATAGGCCCCTACCTCGAGCTTATAAATCCTTTACGTATTAAACTTTTTTTCAGGGAAAGAGCTTTTTTGTTTAGTTGGAAATCCTATATCTTTAACACAATAAGGTTCATTCTATTGTTTTCCAAAACTGACACTTGTCGATCCTAAATCAAGAGATAAATTGTCCTTAGTTTTATACAAAGAAACATACTTGATTCAACAATTCCACTCTTGACTGCCAGTGAAGCCATAATGCATGAAAACAAAAAGAATTATTAGTCAATAAAATCCCTCCCATTTTAATTACACCTGGAGCATTTTGCTTGATCGCTCTAAAACAAAGAGGGTCGGAAAGGAATTTTCAGGGTTTTTTTCCCCGAAAAGGGACTGTTTTTTGCCTTTCTCAGGTTAAGTTTTGGCCAGAAAGAATAATTGAAAAGGGAAGCAATACATTTGAGACAGAAATATAACTTAAGTCTTGACTTAGAATTAGTAAAATAGCCATTTCGGGGGCATTTTCAAATTTTAATTTCATAAGAGTGTCTCAAAGTATTGAACTGTGCTTCTTTGTAATTACACAATACTAATGTACAAGAGTTTCTTGAAAGGTACGGAATAAAGTTGAGAAATGAAGATGCAGATTGATTTTATTGTATTCCATCTTTCCTTTTATTTTTTTTTCAAGAGTAGTCTTGGTTTTTTTTGGGGGGGGGCTGGTTGGTTGGTTGGGATTGGAGGATGGGTACCGGGTTTGAGCAATAGGACGCAGAGGTTATCACAGGAACGAAATCGATTTGATTGGGTGCATATGTATATAAAAAATTTAAAAAAAAAACAAGGTTTGCTTCTCAGAGGTTCAGGTAGCAAATAAGACAAAAAGTTTCGGGCAAAAAAACTGCCATCACCATTGTTTTGTGATAGTGCATTCTACAATGGTGGATCCCGAACACATTTTTTTTTTGGGGGGGGGGGGTCAAACAATTTTTGTGGTCCCCAAAAAGTGGGTTCAAAAAATTACAGCGTGGGCTAAGTTCTGACCACTTTAACCAAATCTTTCTGAGGAAAAGATGGTGGTGTACGCAGTCCCTGCCTTTATTGCAACGCCCCCCCCCCCCCCGATCCGTCTTGGCACTCTATCTTGCAGCTGACTGAACTGTGATGATGACTTCTGTGTTCATTTGGGGCCCTCGCGTTATATTCAAGAAAAATTCATCAATGAAATGAAAAAAAAGGCAAAGAAGACCTTAACAATAAGAGCACAAATAAGACGATACACACAAGTCGTCTTTAGAGCAATTAATTAATTAAACAAAAATTACAAAATAAAATTAGACTAAAACTGACAAGTCCCATCCCCAGCCGACCATATTAAGGCATGACAACTAAAAAAGGTAGATATCAGTGGCACCGATCATAGTGAGGACCACGATTTATGTGGCTCGACCTCTAGTGAAAGAAATTTAAGTTAATTCAGAAACTTTCAGTGCGGGGGGGGGGGGGGGGGACGGGCCAGGTGCGTCTATTCCGTTTTTCTCTTGAGGGCGCTTTCCATGATTTCCCATGATTTCGTCAACTCGACTGCCATGTGTACGGTGCAAGGTGGTGAAACATCCTACAACAAGGCCTACATGATCTTCTAGAATAAAGGATAATTGTTTCCGCCTTCGAAACTAACAAAACAGTGGTGAGTATTGGCGATTGTGAAGTTTTGGATCCCCTTCTTCGAAAGAAAATCCAAGTTTGATTAGAATTGGAAAAAATAAACTTTGTTCAGTTATGTCTGGGAAAGATGTTGCATATTGCAACAATGACGCTTCTTCTGCACCCAGCGGTTGTGTACAAAGTCTGTGGAGAGTTGAGACAATTTTTGAAGCATTTCAGAAAAAATGTTTGAACCTGACGCTGCTTTTTTTCTTCATATATCATCTGAATGAAGGTCAGTCATTGCAAAAATGACGATAACTTATAAGACATGAATCTGGGACTGAGAAACATTTCCAATTTTATTTATGTTAGGAAATAGGTCTACTTAAAAAAATCGCAGTGGCTATCGTTACGGCAGCCGTAACGCATTTCCCATTTTCTATCGTTACGGTAGTACTGCAACTATAAAAACATGAGAAGAACATATAAAATTAGAAGGAAAAAAGTGAATTTGAACGTTATGAAATTCGCACTTTATTTCCCTTTTAAAAAAAATCCTCCAAAGCCTCTGGTTAGAAAAGGAAAACAATTTGAGTGCAAAACTGAGATGCGAACCCGCAACCTCGCGGTGCAAAATCCTATTCTCTATCGACTGAGCTGTCGCACTGCTCGCTAAAATGTGGGGAAACAAATAATTATATACCTGCGTGTGTATCAAAAAAGTATCGTAGAGGGCGCTAAACAACGGCTGCCGTAACGATAGCCACTTCGTAAAAAATTGTCTTGACTCTCCATAGACTTATCATCATTTGTGCAATGAATGACCTTCATTGAGATGATATATATGAAGAAAAAGTGGCATCAGGTTGCAACTTTCATTCCCAACATTCTTACCGAACATTCCTCCATCATCAGATCATGGTTATCCTACCTTAGTTCAACTAACTTGGACCCTACTTAGCCTACGAAGCAGGTCGTTTCGTACCCAAGTCGTTTCGTACCCAAGTCGTTTCGTACCCAGTCAATTATGATGCACAAAGGAGATTAAGCCAGTCATGCAAACACGGAAAATACATACACAGACAAGCTAGATCAAATCTGTGAATTAACTTGCAAAAATGTTCTTTCTCCATCGGTGTTTTCTTGGCATTTTTACGATGTCTTTCTCAGCATTTTTACGATGTCGAATCCGACCAGTTGACAGAGCGCTGAGCACGTGCCTGCGCCTGCATAGCCATGCTAGCGCTATCGATCGCATAGCTGTGCACAGACTAGTTACCGCATTTCATCATTGGCCCCTGCGCGGCGCGGCGGGAACCAGTCGTCGCCGCATTGCGCTTATTACGCACGTGATTATAGACATCGAATTGCGAAGTACATGTAGTTGAATCGCGCAGTGAATTTGTAAAAATAACGGAGTTTTCTTTTGAAAAAACAGCGAATGTAAGTAAGAAAACAATAAATACAAGCATTTTTTTGATGCAAAAGGGTTGTTGAGAGGTACTTTGTAAAGACAGACAAGACATAAGATTTTTATTTTTATTTAGGCCTATTCAATCATTTTTTATTTTTTTTTTTTGGAATTGCCGATACAATTTTTAGGGTCGCAGCCTAAAAATAGGGTCGGTCGGGTAACCGGAAGCAGAACTATTCTTTTTTTTTTGGCCTAATTATAAAAAGTACAATTCGAAAAACTGAAAAGCAACCAAAGAAAATCACGCTACAATATAGAAGACAAACATGAATCCTGTGTGCGAAACGACCTGGGTACGAAACGACCTGGGTACGAAACAACCTGGGTACGAAACGACTTGGGTACGAAACGACCGACATTCCTTAGCCTATTGCCTTTTTAAACATTCGGAAATTGTCTGGCGATAGTAAGGTGACTGCTGCCATGGGCATGGCTTACCCTACATTGGACCAAAAGGCCAATCATGACAACTTTTAATACAATTTTAACCTCAGTTTATAAAGCCTAGCCTATAAAACAAATCCTTGATGCTCGGTAATGCTTGTTGGCTCCAACTGACGCCAGTTAACTCAGTTAAGTAGGACCCTATTTCTCAATTCCCAGAAATACAAGGAAAATGGGAGCTTATGAATTTGAAAACTGTTTGGATCATGCAGAAATTTCACAGTGGTCCGACACTGGTTTGCGCACTGACTCCCGACTCCTCAACATGCAATATAGTAGGTGTCTTTTAAGACTGCCATCTTCTTTACTAATTGATTCCCCCCCCCCCCAGAAGAAAAACAGGAAATTTAATTTTGACTAATCAGCCATTGCATTTGCAACCTTTTTCATCCCAGGGTGTTTAAAGTAAAGGGGCATGGCAGACACTGGCGACGGGCGGCGTAAAGGGACAGCCAAGGTCCGCACCCTTCAAGACATTGAGAAGAAGATCCAGGAACGATGGGATCAAGAGAAGATTTTTGAGGAGGATGCACCCGCTGGGGTCAAAGGTCCTGGGTAAGGGCAACAGGTCAAACAAATATTTGCAGTCGTCACATGTATTCGTCTCGACAGCTTCGTTGTACAAAATGCACTAGCTGCTTCATATTTGTTTTCTGTTATTTTTTGCTGGTTCTAAATGACCCGGCCTATGACCTAAATTCACAGGGAAGCCGTTTTTGATCGTGTTCCCTGAATGTTATTCACATATACCCAGTTTTTCTCATTAATTTCCAGGAAGAATAAGTACATGGTGTGTTTCCCCTATCCCTACATGAATGGAAGACTCCATCTTGGCCACACATTCTCTCTGTCAAAGTGTGAGGTAAGTGTAACACCTGATCATTTCCTTGTAAATTTATTTAAACCATTCGCAAACTCTTCAAGAAATGTATAACGAGCTGGTGTGCTGTCATCCTGTTGATTTCATGAAAGAAGTTAAAGTTACTGTACGCATTTTCTTCAACATATTCAATCACACTGACCGCCCTTTCTTTATTTTCTTGTTAGTTTGCCGTTGGCTACCAGCGTCTGAAGGGCAAGCAATGCCTGTACCCATTCGCCTTTCACTGCACTGGCATGCCAATCAAGGTAAGATCCCACTCTAAAAAAAAAAACCAGCATCTGAAACAAGCTGATGTCTAAAATGACACGGTAGAGAGGTTTCACGTCTGAACTGATACGTGTATGGACACGTTTAGCTATCCGTATTACCATTATCGACCATTCCATTATTTTGCATCATACAGGGTTAATAAAAAAGGAAATCCAAATGTCAGGACCGTTTTTGTAATGATGTTCTGCATGTAACACTTTTAAAATCTAGGGTATGAAAGCCCAATCAATGAGCTTTCTTTTAGTACAAGAATCATTCAAATCACTCTTGTACTTTTCAAGTTATGAAATGTTAAAGACTACCACCATTTTAATATTCAGTCCACGGATCACAAAAAAGGTAAGTGTCTTTCAGCAAAACGAAAACAATTCACATACATCCGTATAATGGAAGCAAGAGGCCGATGCCTGTCCTCATATACAGGTGTATTATACGATCTGTTGTCCAGTTTACTCTTTGAAATTGCTTTTGACGTAGTGTCTTAGTATTCAGAGATAAAAAAGATTGCGTTTCTTGAATGTCAGGCCTGTTCAGATAAACTGAAGCGGGAGATGGAGGAGTTCGGCTGCCCACCAAGTTTCCCACAGGAGATGGAGGGTGAGGATCAGATTGATAAGGAAGGGAGTGATGCGATCGGCAAGGACAAGGCTAAAGGCAAGAAGGTAACAGCTTCCTCCTTACATTCTCCTTCCTTGCTCCACCCTCTATTGCCACTTCTGGAGTGACCAAAAACTCACGATTTTGTTAAACAACCCTTAATAAATACACATTTACGTTCTTGTTATCTTTGTATTTCTGGAAGTTCTTTTCACTTTACCTTACATAGCCTGTGTAAAATAAATCAGTATTTACTTTGCACAATTTTAACTGATGATGCCATCAAACTGGAAGTAGTATGTAAATGAAATGTGTTTTGAAATCTATTAATCCCTAAAGGATACATTTCTTCAAATTAATAATTTTAAAAAATAGTTTGAATTTCATGCTGTTCCTGTGTTCTTTTATTTTTTTGCATAAATGTATTTACAACTGAGTTAAAGGGAATATACATCATTTGCTTTTGCTGTAATTTTCAGAAATGGATGGAATTGGGGGGTTGGAAATATATAGCAAATATAGTTACACTGACTTTTTGAGGTTTTGGGTTCGAAAATGCTATAAAAACCAAGAAAAACGATCATTTTCCTGTAGTCTGGTTCCCTGACTCCATATAAGAAGAAACAGAGCAGTTTACATACATTGGGGAATTGTAAGGTCAGGGAACCAGTCTAGCTGGCTCGTACCCGTTCATAGGTTTGTAATCGATTGCAGACAAGTGCGATGGTCAATTGGGGCCAGTATTTGAAAAAAAGCCAGTTGTTTCCAACGCTGATCGGCCGATCAGCGTTGGAAATTGATACCAAAATACCACTTTTCTTGAAAATGACAGTATACCAGGTGCCATGATTTTACAGGATGCTTTACACTGTCATTCACTAACAGTCCAGCAAGGTATTTCAAAATGATTTGGTAGTTTTATTTTTTGATGTTTGCAAATGTTGTATTTTCCCTTTAAGCAAATGTCAAATAAAATAATTGTTTGTTACAAAGATAACACAAACCACTAGTTGTTCCATATTATTGTGTTTCTTGAACATCAACAGAGCAAACTAATAGCCAAGACTGGCAAGGCTAAATACCAGTGGGAGATCATGCAGTCCCTGGGTATTTCTGAGGAGGACATCCCCCTGTTTGCTGACACACAACACTGGCTGGAGTACTTCCCACCATTGGCTAAGCAGGACCTGAAGGGGATGGGACTCAAGGTGGGTGCCACTCCTATCCTCCTCTGTACAATGTCGATAATTCCTGACAATTATTGCAGTTTCCAATTATAATACTTCTGAGAAAATAATCTAACTCTCTCTCATGCGTTTTTATTTTTGTGAGATTTAGATTTTCCAAAAATAAAAAAGGTTGACAATCACCTTATTGACTGAAAAATCAAATTAAATTATTCCAAATTTGTGAATATTATTTTTTAGCAATATTTTAACGGATGTTGATTTTCCTTTGTTTTCCTTACAATTAACTTCTTATTCCCTTACTCCCCCTCCCAACACCTAGACGGACTGGAGGCGAAGCTTCATCACCACCGACGCAAACCCTTACTACGATTCCTTTGTCCGCTGGCACATGCTGACCCTCAAGAAGTCAGGCAAGGTGAAGTTTGGCAAGAGGAACACCATATACTCACCCAAGGATGGCCAGCCGTGTATGGACCACGACCGTCAGTCTGGGGAGGGGGTAGGGCCCCAGGAGTACACCCTCATCAAAATGAAGGCTTTGAAGCCTTACCCTGAACGCCTCAAGTAAGCTACATATAACACTCTCTTGATCTGTACACCGTGCCCTCTGGAGACATGCATACAATAGTGAACAAAAGATTGTATACGTCTCCACAGGGCAATTTCTATAGATGAATACGTCTCCACAAGGTTTTCACAAAATAGATGTATGGATTTTACTCAAAAACTAGGAATTTCCAGGATGGGTTGATCTGTCGCAAATGGAAGAATAGAAAGGGATATTAAGTCCGAATTTCAGCCAAGGAAATTAATTCTGGTTTAAATAAGAACATTTTGAAACTACATTTTCAAACTCAAAAACTTTAGTACACGAGAACAAAGAAATGTCTCCACAAGGAAACAAATTTCAGTATCTGTGAGTATATTCAGTTATCAATGACATGAATACTGTATTCCATTATTTGGATGTTTGGAAATCAAATGCCATGAGATATAAAGAAACAGAAAAGCTTGACATTTCGGTGCAAGAGTTGTGTTTCCATTTGTTACACCATTGCAAGCTTCTGTTGATCCGTGATGATAAACTGAGAATAATTATATTTTTTGCTTTTGGCATTTAGCCAGATCCCCCATCCCCGAAGTAATTTTGCATTGCTGAAGATTTTAAAAGCATTGGTGGCTTATAAATTTCCTTTCACATTCAAAAAACATTTATTACTTTCACCAGGAAATTTTCCAAGAAGAGCGTGTATTTGGTGGCAGCCACCCTGAGACCAGAGACCATGTACGGTCAGACTAACTGCTGGCTGCGGCCTGACATGAACTACGTGGCCTATGAGACCAAACAGGGAGAGGTGTTTATCAGCACTCACAGGGCAGCGCGGAATATGTCCTACCAGGGCTTGCTGAAGGAAGAAGGAAAAGTGACTGTGATAGCGCAGCTGGTGGGCCAGGTAATGAGGAATAATCTTTATCTCCAAACAAAGTTGAATTCTCGATCCTGATTGGTCAAATGATGACATCAACAGTGTAGTCATATCCCATATACCACGGTCGATATAGCACCGCGCATATCGCATTATTCTAAGATGCGCTCGGTATTCCTACTGCACGCACTTATAGTAGGATTACTGCGGAAAAGTTCCTACATACAGTGTACGCATTCAATCTATTACTGTATATTAAGATTGATTAAAAATATATTTGTTATCCCACTCGCGCTTTTGGAACACGGAAACTGTAGTCCGTCTATGTCTGATATGCCATGAGGCCAAAGGATATGGGACACAGAGGCACTACGTTATTCCAAGTTCCACTCGAACTTGGGGGTAACTAATTTTATAATATCTCTTACTTGGAGTCTTAGAAGGGCCAACCTATCATTGTCCTTATGACTTCTGATGGGGGCAAACTCGATGGGTACAAATGGGCACCAGGGTCTATTAGAAATGATGCAACTTTTTCCAAGCCACATTCCTATACTCACACCACTTGTAGTGGTCCCATTTGTGTGCCATAACCTATGCACTCTTCAGAACATGACAAATTGACAAATTTCTGATTCACAGTGAATCAGAGGATCTCGGTGTTGACAATCCCCTTCCAAATTGTTTGAACCAAGGTTTATACTACGCTGCATCGGGAGTCCTGTTTATTACGTCACGATTTACTATGTTTTGTTTGCTGCCCCCAACGACGAGTTTTACACAAATTGCACATTCGGGTCGAAACAGGACCTGAAAAACAGCTCTCAAAAGTACCTTTTGTACTCATTTCATGACTGACACAATAGTCGTTTTTATTTCATCACACCTTAGGCTACATATACCCGAAAAATGACGGAAATGTCTTCGAGCATTCCACAACCTCTTAAAAGACGAGAAAAAGTACTGTTTGTGCCACCTGAACAGCTGTTTGCTTTTCTTGGCAAAGACTTGCATACCGGTGTAGAATGATACCCACAATTTTATAATGATTCTTTGGATGTGTTTCGTAGGATATCATGGGCATGGCCTTGAGTGCACCTTTAACCTCCTACAAGACTATCTATACCCTGCCTATGCTGACCATCAAGGAGAATAAAGGGACAGGCGTGGTCACCAGCGTGCCGTCTGATTCGCCTGATGATTACGCTGCCCTCAAAGACCTCAAAAACAAGAAGGTGATTGGTTATTATTAAATTACCCTTACATCTATCAGAGCAAGAGTTAGAGAATTCCAATTTTATCAAATTTTTTTGTACTCATGACATCAACATTTGATAGAATTGGAATTCTCTAGCTCTGAGGTTCTTGCTTAATGTCAAAGTGTCAAATGCAGGGCGAGAGACGGCTTTATTTATGAAGACTTTTCCATGGAAAATGATTCTTAAAAAGTTAGAAATAGTTTTCACAGATTAATCTACAAACATTACTCCTGGAATAATACACAGTTGCTGGGATAATACGCAAAATATTTTACGAAAAACAAAAGTTTACTGGGAAATGAATAATTGTAACGAATGGAATAAGTAATTTAACAAATGTGAAGAAGAAAGTCAAATCTTTTTGCCTTAAATCCAATTTCTCATGTGTTTTAATAAAGAATTAACTTTTGGGAAACAAAGAGAACATTCTATAAAGGCGATAACATTGTTTTCCGTTTTGTTCCCCAATAGGAATTCCGTGCCAAGTATGGCCTGAAGGATGAGATGGTGTTGCCCTTTGACCCCGTGCCTATCATTGACGTGCCTGGCATGGGTAACCTAGCGGCAGTCACGGCCTACGACGAGCTGAAGATCAAGAGTCAGAATGATAAGGAGAAGCTGGCCGAAGCCAAGGAGAAAGTCTACCTCAAAGGTTTCTACGAGGGGGTAAGTCTCGGTCATTATCCTCGTCATTTGCCAAACCAGTTTCTTGTGAAAGCCATTGTAATCAGCTATTAACTCAAGGTTGATAAAAAAATGGAGGCAGAATACAGAAACTAAAGGCTGCAGCCCCTCCAGTTTTATTGTTTGTCCTCAAAACGCAGGACACTTTTTGCAATCTCCTCTTATCCCTTCACTGTATCTGTTCCAAAGGCCAATACTGTGAGATATTCTTTTAGCTTTTTTCCTTGTACTGCTACACTTTGGAACTCTTTTCCTGAGTCCTGTTTTCACCAACTTATAATCTATCACTGTTCAAAAGAAATAGGGCCACTTCAACACATCTCTTGGTGTTCCAACTTCCATAATTTTTGAACTCAAGATGGTATCAGCATGCAGTTTTCACAGCAGTAATGCTGAGATTGTGCTCTTTCAAGTCTGTAATACCAAAAATTTGACCGGGGTCGACAAATGACTCATTTCGCTTGATTGCATCACATTTGTTCAAATTAGATCCCTTCCAAAAAAGATATTCTTCTAGCTTTTTTCCTTGTACTGCTACACTTTGGAACTCTTTTCCTGAATCCTGTTTTCACCAACTTATAATCTATTACTGTTCAAAAGAAATGGGAATATCTTCTCTCCCTTTAACTTTTTTTCTCTATACTTTCCTTTGTAGTCTGCACATTGAGTGGCCTTCTTGCCTTATGACAGGCGATTCCCATTAATTAAAAAAATGACAATATCTGGAATCTCCTTGACCATTACTAGATGATGGATGTATCAGATTTAAAAAATACTTTTGAGGTTTATTCACTAAGCTCTTAAAGTACAAAATAATGTCCGATTTTATAATGTCCGTCATGCTGGAATTGCCCATAGATGATTTGAAGACGAAAAGAAAGCGAAGGAGAAATTGCACAAACGCAATAAAGCATGAACAGATTTTAACTCTAGCTTTTGACTCAGCTAATACAAGTGTGAATATTCTTTTCTCAGATCATGATTGTTGCCGATGTCAAAGGTCAGAAGGTCCAGGATGTCAAGAAGATCGTCCAGAAGAAGATGCTGGGTTCCCGTGAGGCGTTGGTCTATCTGGAGCCTGAGAAGCAGATCATATCGCGCTCTGGTGACGAGTGCGTGGTGGCACTATGTGATCAGTGGTATCTAGACTATGGGGAAGAGAAATGGAAGGCGAAAACCTTAGCTGCCATGGAGAAAATGGAGCTGTAAGTATGTTGTTTGTTTGGGGAGATCTTGGACAAATGTTTAAAGGATATATAGAGGAGAATACATGTATTTGACATCCAATTGTTTGTATCCAGGTTTTCATCATTTTAGTTTAATAAAATTGTTAGAGAGGCCTTTAGCAAAGACTTCTTCAGATGAAATATATCAGGCCCCTCTAACTTGTATTTTCAGGGTCAATCCAGTCAGTGAGCAGTTTGCAGCAGTTTTATTATTTTTCACATTTTAGTTTAATCCTATTTTTATTCTGATATTGTTTCAGGAGTTTCTATATTCATTTAAAAGCATAAAAATGTGTTAAGTTTCAGACTTTGAAATCTCTTATTTCTCTCACCACTATCTTATACCAGCTTTTAGATATATCTTGTCTGACTGCTATGGTACTCTCTTAGATAAAGTTATTTCGTATTTATGGGAATTTCTTGTGTTACTCCTGTAACTAGATATTCGGAAGACACAAGACGGAACTTCCTTGCCACATTTGACTGGCTGCATGAACACGCCTGCTCCAGATCATATGGCCTTGGTAAGAACACAAAATTGCTTCCAAGTGTGGCAGCAAGTTCTACTGGTCTGGATTCCTATCCGGTCAGTTGGTCCTGTGGAAATTCCCATTTCCTGTGCTTCATTCAGCTGATGGCCTATTTGAATACACCCCTCTTACCTTGATATCCCAGATACCAAAAATGAAAGGTGCCCCCTGTTCATATTTAACCTGGAGGACCACAGTACGACGATTTGTCTTAATGCACAAATTGAGCTCAGAAGAGCTGCTCTATGTGACACAAATTTTGGTAAAACAAGGTTGCATAATGGGAGAAAGTCACCATCCATTGGTAGATAATGCCATGCGATATTCTTTTTGCTGGAGGTGACAGATCTTTTGCAGGTTTTTCTGGGTTTTTTTAGATGTTCAATCTTTCACGTAAAAATGTAAAACAAAAAGGAATAAAAAATAAATGTTATGGTGGCCTCTTTGAGCCAACTGCTTGGCAATGCGATAAATCCAATCTTTAGAAAAAGAAGCCTGAATTACTTGTTGCCATGTCCTTTCTTATTCCCAGGAACCAAGATGCCGTGGGATGAGCAGTATCTGATCGAATCCCTGTCTGACTCCACTGTCTACATGGCCTACTATACCGTAGCGCATCTACTACAGGGTGGCGTGTTTGATGGGTCTGGAACCAGTCCACTGGGAATCAAGTATGTATACACTGAACCCGGAACCAATTTTAAGGAAACGTGTATCTATAGAGTCTGCTAGTAGCATGATTGAGCCTACCATGTAGTAAGGCCAAAAAAAATAATAATCGGTCTCTGGTCAGACTGAAGTTCTGGAATTGATGGCGACGCGGTTTTTTTTGGGGGGGGGTGGCTTTTTTTTTTTTCAAGCTTGAATTGTACAGATAAGGAGGGTACTATTTTGCTTTTTGTGTCCTCATTATACATTGGTGTCCTCCATAATTTGCCTTGGTGCCCTTTATCATTTGCCTTGGTGCAATTTCCCCATTCCTTGGTGCTCCTTGGTACAAAAATTTGAGGAGGTGCGGCAATAGAGGGCGCTGTTGTAGCTTCCGTGTTAATTTGAAGGGAAAAAAAAAGGTTGACGCGCATGATTAAAATCGATGCGTGCGCTGACCAGAGACCGAGTATTTTTTGGGGGGGCCTAATGAGTCCTTTTTCATGTAAAGTAGACAAAGGGATAAGCAGATATCACATTTACCTGATATGCCACCTAGTTAATTATTTTATCCTTACCATTGATTAAGAACCCATGTGTACTTAATCTGTAACTTTCTTAAGACCTCCATTTGTACAAAGTCATCATCTAGCTTATGCTTTACGCTGCTTAAAAATAAAGGTTCTGATTCTTTCTACATTAGGAATACTCTGATGACAACCATAAAATTTCCCCTTGTTAAATCTAGAAATGTTCGGTAGGGGCAAGTTCTGTTGGAATTTTGTTGATGCAAGCAGTGAAAGCCAGATTTATGTACTTCGTTTTGGGTCTTTTTGATCGGGCAGGATTCATACTTTGACAACTCTTGGTTGTGGTATATTGTTGGATTCTAGCAGAATACTTGGAGCAGTTGTACATGTAGTTAGTGTTAGTAAATGTTTCCTGTTTTCCCACCCTTAGGCCAGATCAGCTGACCCCTGAAGTCTGGGACCACATCTTCTACTCCAAGGCCCCGTACCCTAAATCCAGCAAGATCCCCAAGGCCACCCTGGCCAAGCTGAAGCATGAGTTCCAATACTGGTACGGCGTCAACCTGCGGGTCTCCGGCAAAGATCTGGTACCCAACCACCTGACCTACTTCCTGTATAACCACTGTGCTGTCTGGCCCAACGAGCCAGAGCGCTGGCCAGCCGCTGTCAGAACCAACGGCCACCTCCTGCTGAACAATGAGAAGATGTCCAAGTCCACAGGCAACTTCTTAACGCTCTCTGGTGCTCTGGAGAAGTACTCCGCAGATGGTGAGCGGGATGGGCATTGAAAGGGATAGCACCCATTGAAACTTTTCTTTTTTGTAAAATAAATTATTCCCCAGTTTCCCAAATTTGTGGGCACGTGTGGTCTAGCGGTGGAGCACAGGATTCATGATCGTGAGGATGTGGGTTCGAGCCCCGCCTTGGCCATGCGTGTTGTGCCCTTGAGTAAGGCACTTTACCTCATTTACTCCTCTCAACCCAGGTGTTAAATGGGTACCGGCATTATTCAATGCTGGGAAGGTAACAGACTCGCTGTGGAGGAGGTGTGGCGATCCCCCCACAGCAGCATATGAGTCTGGCCCAATCGCTAACGAATGAGAGATGGGCACTCCGTTCCTGTGAACACAGGTTCGTCCCCCTTTACCTTTACCAAATCCACCATAATGAGATTTTGCAACATTGTGGTGGGATTTACGATTGTAGCGGTTTCGGATGCTACAGGTTGTAATGGGTTAAATTGCACTCGTTTTGCTACCATTTTATTCGGTGAATTGGGTTTACGTTTGTCAAGAGACATTTTTTTTTTAAACTGTCTAAAAATTTGTGTATGCAATGAAGTAATGTGGGTGAAAATGGCATCATTGAATTCTGTGATTTTTCTCTAAATGAACAAATGGTATAACATAATATTCCTTGGTTTGGGTTTTTTTTCCGTCAGGTATGCGCCTGGCTCTTGCCGATGCCGGTGACCAAGCCGTAGAGGATGCTAACTTCATTGAAAGCCTGGCCGACGCTGGTATCCTGCGCCTCTACACCTTCCTGGAATGGACCAGAGAGATGCTAGCTGAGGAGAGCGCCCTCCGGAGGGGAACCACGGACAGCTTCCACGACCGGGTGTTCATCAGTGAGATGCATTATGGGATACAAGAGACGGAGAAGGCCTATGAGAGGATGATGTTCAAGGAAGCTCTGAGAACAGGATTCTTTGAGTTTCAGGTTAGGAACTCATGTTTCTCCAAGCAGAATAGAAAAGGGTCCTTATTGAGTGCCTTAAACATGTTGTTGATCAATGAAATTCAGTTCAATCTAGTTTAATTCATGGCTTGAAATCAATACCTTGTACTGTTTCCAGAACATGTTGTTGAACAAGATTTTCACAGTTTGTTCAGGCACTGTATAAGCGTTCCAACAAGACAAGTGTTATTTGTATTTGCACTTTCTACCAATTAATTGCCCAGATAAATTGTATTCTTTAAAACCACAAAATACACCAGTACACGTCTTGTTGCACACAGTCAAAGTCTTTGGCATAAGTCAATGGACCGATCCAGTAAGCCCCTCCCACTGCGCACGTGGGCAAATTAGCACGTGCTCCTCTCCAATGCCACGCTGCATTTTCCTGCCGCGCTCCTAAATCACGGCTGTGATTGGTCAGAACACTGGATCGGCTATTGAGAAGTTAGAGTAAGGATTTTCCTGTTTGTTATATATGTGACTGAGTGAATTTTCATGAGATACACTCAATAGTTTCCATCTCACTTAAAACAAATTGGACCTTTAATCCCAATCCAAACTAGTTTACAAGCATCATTTACCAAAAACGTTTTGACTTAATTGGGTTCATATTAAAGTGAAGTGATGCAGCTTGATCAAATCGGGATTTTATAAGTAAAGTTTCTAATGTTTGCGGACTCATTGTGCAAACATCTAGGCAAGAAGGCACTGGCAAGTCGAAGGAAGAATGTCTCTTTAAGTTTCACCGGTGTACGTGCACTGTATATTTGTAATGTGTAGGCAAACATACCAGGGAATAGGAAGGAAAGAAATCAAGTTTCAGTTCACAAAATTATATTCTTGACTTTAAAAAAATGGGAACCAGTGTGGAATTGGAAGCTGAGTGGTTCGCTTTCAATATTATTTGTGCTCAGCATTATTGACAGGGATGTTTTGCATTTCTTCCACTGTCGTCTGCAGGCAGCGAGGGACCGGTACCGTGAGCGGGCTACCGACGGGATGCACCATGACCTAGTCATGCGATTCATTGAATGCCAAACTCTTCTGCTAGCGCCTATCTGCCCACATCTCTGCGATCACATATGGGGGCTGCTTGGCAACGTAAGTATACCATCCAGAAATGTGGAACCTACTCATTACATCAAATCTACAGTACAAGTTGTTACTGTACTCTGTTTAGAGCAACACAATCTGATTTGACAGAACTTTGCAATTTTGCATTCATCGATCAGCACACTGACCGTGTAATTATATACAGCTGATGTCGTGAAAGTTGCAGTGCCACCTTTGAGCCGCTAAATCTTTTCGCTATACTATAACTTTCAATGTGCTTCAAACTTTCATTGTACCCCTAAGTCACTGTATGATGTAACCACATTTTTTTAGCCTTTGACAAGGATTCTGCTAGTCTGAGTATCACCCGTTATACACGGAGCCCAGACTCCTGTCTAACGTCTGATATGTCAAAGCATGCAGATTTATGAGATCTCAACTTCAGCCAATCAGAGTGGACTTTACTAAATCGTAACGTCATTTCAGTCCCAAATCAGGACTAAACGTTTGATTGGTCAATTCGAATGCAGTGTTTTGTAATGCAACAACAGCCGGGCGTGTTATCGCGTAACATGATAACAGAGCGCGTGATGCAGGGTTTTTTAATACATTGTCTATGACGCGCACCGGAGACCCGATATAGAAAGCGCCATGGGTCTATTACATAGACTAGGATTCTGCTAGGCTCAAAATGTAAGGCCATCTAACATTTTTGATAATGTAATTTCTTTCGTCAAGAGCATCATAAAGGGTCACGTGTCACGTTTTAAGACTGCAAGCACGCAGACATAGCTTGTGTCTTCAGCTTTTTTGCACTGTGAGAAACCCTTGTAACACTGATACCCATATATGCCATTGAAGCAACCAAAAGTTAACATGTTGGAACAGTTAAGAGGCACAAAATAAAGGAGACAGAAAATAATGAAAAAGCCGTTCACTGCTGTGATGTATGATGTTATATTTTGAACATATGCCCCTGCTGTATCAAAAACGCTTTGTTCGATCACAGTAGTAAAAAATCTTAGCATAACTGTGATGGTTTTTATATTTTTTATTTATTTATTTTGTTGGTGGTTTTGCAGAAAGAGTCCATCATGAAGGCTCGGTGGCCAGTAGCTGGTGAAGTAGACAGTAAACTACTGAGGTCATCTGACTACCTGATGGACTCGGCCCATGACTTCCGCCTGCGACTCAAGAATGTCATGTTGCCTCCCAAGGGAAAGGTAAGATAACTTACAATCATGGGCAAGTTCGCGCAAGGACTATTATTGACCATTGGTTAACCATAGTTCAACTAAAGTTAACCGGAACTCTGTCTAGTCGACGATTGTTGACTACGCGAGTCGACTATTTGGAACCAGCCTACTGGGGTTGGTTGCATCGCTGGTAACCAATAGCCGCACGCATTCATAGCGTACAGCAGGGAGCCAGGATCCAGAAGTTTTGCGATGACGTTTTGACCAGCGTTTGACTAGAGACGTTCGCACGTTGCTATTAGTGCGCAGGCGTAAGGTACGTCACAAATCAACCACTAGTCGACTAATGGTCCTTGCCCGAACTTGGCCCATGTGGATGCGCACAGTCATGACACCTGACTGCAACATGGTATAACCTGCATGTAGTTCATCCATGTACCACGTTTTAAGAGGTAAAGGAAAATGTGGCATATGGTTGCAGACCAGTCAGTAAACTGCCATAGACCCCAATGGTAAATGCCCCCACTTCAGAAATTCAGGAAAAAATACTCACAACTCTCCAAGGTGTTCGAGACACACATCAAATCAAAGCTTATTTCATCATCTTTCATTTTCTTTTCAATTTTTAATGGGTTAACTGATGACTTTTAGGAGAAATTTCCATCCGAAGATGATCACCCCTGAAAATAGTCCTGAAGCCCATCGTCATTTTGAAAAACGATGCCTACACTCCATTGCGAAATAGAGCGCTTTTAGGGCTCCGATTTCATCCAAATTGCACAGAACTACAAGCTCACAGTCCTGTGCACGGCTTCCACCCATATTTTTTACAAACCCTCTAGTTCATGGCCCACAGTATGCTCAAATACCGAAGAATTTGAGGGCATGCAAATCGTGATTTGGCCGGCGTAGGCAATTTTGGATTGATTTACTGGCCTGCAACCATATGGTTTTATATTTCATATCGGTGTGTGTGTGTTGCTTATGCAATTTAAGAAAATTTGATTCATACAATGTATAATCGTAGTAGGATATTGACTCTGTACATATTTACCTCTCAATGGTTACAAAAGGAGAGACTATTTGACTACATTTCTTGTTTGGTCTGACAGAAAGGTGTTCCCCCACCGCCTAAGCCAACCCATGGTACCCTGTACGTGGCCAAGACCTACCCTCCATGGCAGAACGCTGTCTTGACAACTCTCAAGAAACTCTACGATGTAAGTCTGTGTCCAACATTTCCTTTACCACTCAAATATCTGATTTGGAAAAAAAATAATTCTAGACAAAAAGATTGCCAGAAATGTCTGGAACAGGGCAAACTTTTTAGACTTGAACATTTTTGGATTGTTTGGGTTTTACATTGATGTTCCAAGACACAAGCTTGACATTTATTGACATTTATGAAATTGTTGGTCTAGTTTTTCCTTATTCTTTAATTTTTTTGCCATTTGTGAAACTGTTTTATGCTAGCAGGAGTTAGTGCTGATTTTGCCACCTTACCTCGATTTACTATGAACCATGTTCAGTATACTAAATTTTGGAGAAAAAAAGGATTTTGTAAAACCACAATTTCTTTGCAAACAGAGAGTAAAAATCCTGCATGTGTTGAATCAATTCAATGATTTTACTCAAAAGTAATAATGAGCACAGTGTAATTTTTAATTGAATGTAACATGTAATCTTATGTCAACAACCTTGCATTCACGTTTGTTTGCACCCCTCTCCAAAATGACAGGGTTGCTCGCTCAAAATTATGGTCTGTTAAACTGTTACACATTTTGATCATTTCTAGAGTAATGCCAGCGGCTTTCCTGAAAACAAAGAGATACTGGGTCAGCTTAAAACCATCGATCTGCTCAAGAAATACATGAAGAAGGTCATGCCATTCGTGCAGCATGTCAAGGTAAAAGGCTCACTACAGAATTTCCTGATATAGAAAAAGAAATTGTCAATTTTGTTTTACAATTTAATTGGAACGTAACAAAAGTTGAGGAGTTGATAGTGTTGTGTAGTCTAGCATTGAGATTGAATGGAAGACATGTACGTTAGAGTGATTTATTAAGAACCTTCCTCACTCCTGCAAATTCCAACACCATATGGTAAACACAAAAACTGTTGGACTCTGTTTATTTTGGTGGTATGCCCCATGAAAAGCATAATCACTTTACTAGTACAGTACTCACTCTAACAGATTCCAACAAACCCTGGTGTTGGAGTTTGACAGGATCCGATGGGGATTGTTAGGGTTAAGGAGCATTATTCGTCTATTTAATGTATACAAGGAAGACCAGCAGCCGATTTCACGAAACTTTATGCAATGGCATCACACCACTTCCGCCACAATTTATTACGGAAGTTGCACAACATTTTACGCTGCCCAACATTGGCGTTATGATACATTAATATGATTTTTAATTTTTAAAAGGTGAATTTAAAAAGCAATTTTTGTGCAACTGATTAGGTACCTAGTTGATACAACTTGTCAAAGCACAAAAGGACGATCTGTAACTCTCTGTATATTTTGTTTGTCGCAGGAGAATGTTGCCAAGTCAGGTCCTAGAGCCATGGATCTCACCATGGAGTTTGATGAGAAGGAAGTCCTGGAGACTAACATTGCATATCTGACAAGTACCTTGGAGGTCAGTTTTCTACTTCATCCACCACACCCCCCCCCCAAAAAAAACCCCAACAACAACAAAAATTATACCTGAAGAGTCACCAGAATAGATTGAAAACAACATTAAAAATGACATAGATTTGGCGTTTCTGTTCGTAAATATCTGAGATGGTTATCCAATGAAACATACTTTGTACTCAAGCAAATATGGGGTACTGCATTAGATTTCCATCAAACTGAAGCAAAAAGCAGGTATTGGATTTTACAGTTTTTAGGAGGTTAGGTTAACATGTTGTGTTTGAATGTACAGATTAACAAAACATTGCGTACGAATCAAAACGAGCGTTAGTATTGTGCATAAATTATCCGGTGAAAGTTTCTGGTTGTGGTATGAAAATATGTTTGAGAAAGAAAGCAATACTCAAAATATCCAAACAGGGATATTATTTTGCGTTTTTTTTGCCGAAATGTATGAAGTCTGATTGCCCAATTGACTTGAGGTATAAATGATCTCGTCCCAGCCCCACTGCCATATTTTGAATTAATCCTTATTTTCTAATGAACGAGGGCGGTATAACACTACCAAGGCAGTTTTTGATATTGGCCATTGCATTTAATATGTTTATGGTAAAAATGACCTTGCTTTACCATTGCGGTGGTAATGAAGCATTGTCTGTCTCTTGATACACCTTTAGTGTGTGCATCTCCAGCACCTTACAAATGTCACAATACACTAAAAACCTTAAAAGCATGTCTTGTAGTAGACTTACTATGGCTTTTGCCTGGTCTTTTTGTACATCTACAGTTTACATGTATTCCTTAAAGATATAGTCCATCATTTGTAATTTGTGCATTTTGTTGGTTTGAAGCAACAAAAGTGTTCAAAATCTAATGAAGGATACTGAACAACTAACCTGATGAAGTTTCAGCTCAGCTTCAGCTGTATATTCCGAGAAAAAACAGCATTCTAGGATCTCAATTTCAAATCAAAAGTTGCTGAATCATGTTTTGAATTGTTTTGAATGGCAGCTATACGCGATGTCGCGCACTGATCCGACGAATTATAGCAACCGCGCGCGCCTGTGCGTCGTGCCAATGCTTGCGCGCGCTGCGCCGAATAACAAAATGAACTACTATAATTTAAATTTTCCTACGGTGCGTCTTAAGACGCACCGTTGGAAAGGCCTTCTTTCGTTGATTACTTCAAAATGAAAGCTTGCCAGAAAGATTAATTTCACAGGGAGTTTAGTCCACTTACTATCTTTCAACCAAGTATGTTTTTCAACAATAATATGCCAGTTACTTTTTTGGATGGCTGCAAATGATGGACTATAGCTTTAAAGCTAAGCAGTAGGGCTGGTACCGGCTCTGAGAGAAAAAACGACCATCGATTATCCTTGCCTTCAAGTAAATTGATATTGATGCTGCCGTAAAAATCATCCTTCACAACAGGCTCGTTACCATGGCAATTTTATTCAAGCATCCAAACTAGGAATTTGTGTTCGCTGGTTGTTACTTGGATATTAAAGCTCTGGTGGAATTTGTAATTTAAATTTGTAATGTGTTGCGGGAGAAGAAAGATTTTCCATCGTGTCATCTTTTATAAGTTGTAGCTTCAACTAAGATATTTTTTGGTAGAAAAGTGTTATAAAATCTGTAAACAAACAAACAAAATTGGTAGGGTAAACTTTAATCTCTTACTAAAACCTTTAGAATTGAACAAATTTGAAATTCTGAGAAGTTAATGATGTTTTATAAATTAGCCCATTTAAGCTGCATATCCCGTGCTCTTCAAAAAATGGATTCTTTTTTCTCTGAACGAATTTTCAATTTGTATGTTTTGTTTTAATTTAAAAAAGTACTTTACTCTGATTTTGGGCATTTGCAACTCTGAAAAGGGGCTTTTATTTTTGCGCAGAGATGCCCTCGCCCTGTGAGAGCCAACTTATTGTCTGGCTGCCGCTAATTCGAATTTTGTGAAGAAATAATTCAATAACTAACGTCGATGTATTTTTATCATTTGATGTCTTACTCAAAGTGAATAACTTTGATATTGTAAGAAAAATAGCAAATGAAAGTCTTTTTTTCTTAAGGTGAACTTGAAAATAGCATGGGGAATGATTTTTTACTTCGTTTTCTATTTAAAAAAAGACACCCCTCCCCAATAAAAAAATTAATCAATCAATCAATAATAATAATGTGTCCGCTGGGCATGTAACCTAGATCTTAAGAATAAGCCACCAGTGATAACAACAATCGCTAATAGGGTTTAAATCACTGTACTACATGTAGTCACTACGACTTTGACATAACCTAGAATAAAGGCCCCTGCCACTGATTCCTTGCCACAGAAATTGGCATTGATAATCTCCTGAATAGCGAGGTCCCAGATGGTGGACAGTTTCCATGACAACCAATTTCTGCCTGTCTCAATCAATATCTTGTCCTTTATTCTTGAGACCTTGAGAGTGTTGATCACGCATACTGTACATGTATTGCCACAGCATTATTTACAGATTTTGAAATACTTTTTTAACCATTTTATTGCATCACAAATCTCCTTCACTTATTTTTGTTGTTGTTACACGGAGAAAATGCCTAAAAGATTTCAAAGATTTGTGAATATTTGTCAGGAATGGCATTGGATTTAATCTTTCAAGTTAATCCCAGTTTTAACATTGTGTTTAAAATGAAAGGTAAAGAAGATTAATAAATTAGTAATGCCTGATATCAAGAAGCATTTGTTACATGTAGTAGGGTGTGTTCGTCCTTCAAATACGTGGAAAACACTAACAGCGAATCTCTCACGGACTCAATAAAGTGCTAAGGCTACGACAAAAATGCCTTGGATTTTTTTTGCCTTGATAGTCACTCCATGTGCACTGTTGAAGTACAGAGAAAGTGGATAATTTAACAAGTCTAAGTTTTCTGTACTGTACTGAGACATGTCCACATGTAGAAAAGAAACTTGTATCTGCAGTGGCCTCATCAACAACCTCTTCAACAAGTCAGATTTGTGTCCTATTAATAATTTTATAATTTGTATTTTTATTGCAATCATTCCTTTCCCTTTTTTTGGACATCTGCAATCATCTGGCAAAAGTTTTTTGTTTTGGGCACAAACAGATCAGTAGACTGGCGCCCGGTCTGTACAATATCGATACTGATTGTGGGGTGGGAACCAGCCTACCACGCAAGAACTGCATTATTGTCTGTCAGTCAATAATTTGAAGATTGTAAACAATAATTTAATTTTGGGCCATTTTTGTTTGATTGATGTCTCATTCAAAAGTGAATAACTTTTGCATCGCTAGAAAAATAACAATTTTTTAAGAATCTAATTTGGGAGGAAACTCAAAAATTGCATGGGAAATGCAACTTTAACAACAAATCTGAATTATCAAAACAATATCATTATTTTTGGTTTCTTTATACTAACGGAAGAAATTAAACTGTACTCCTAATTTTTCCTTGTCGCAGCTGGAAGGCTTAGATGTCAAGTTTAGCTCAGAAGCCACCGATAAGATACAAGAGGAATGCTGTCCTGGAAAGCCGTTCTCCCTCTTCCGAACTGAGGTATTCAACCTAACTTTATCAGGAGAAAATGTCAATTTAGCATTTTGTGGAAATGATTTCAGTTATATGGGTCTATTATGCCTATTATTAAAGCCTATTATTATTAAGCATATTGTGGGTCCTTGTGTCTTACGAATAAAGATTGACCGCTTTCTTCATTATTGTTAATTCTGAGCTTAGCTAAACCACTGGTCTCCATGTAAATAATCTGATAGCTCGTTGGCATTCCAAGCTGTACAAACTAGTGAAGCTACACACTGGTATCCGATCTCTCCATTCAATTGTGTGGAGGATGCCAGTCTCTTCCACTGCCATTGTTCAAAATTATTAAAACAGAGTCATCTAAAAGTATATGAAACTTTTTTTTTCCTCAACAGAAATTTTATATAAAGTATTTTTGTTGCCATTTTATTATTTTTTTGAAGACAAAAAGTCATTGTTGACTAAAAAGTGTACATATATCATCATATATACCTTTTTTCACAAATCTATTGTTCTTAGGGAGGTAATATTGCGTAAGGTGTCTTCAATTCTAACAGGCATGGAGATAATTGAGCTCAACAGGGTCGTATGTTTTCTTGATGTTATGAGCGAAGTTTTGTTAATCGTTAATAAACTCTCTTGCAGCCGAGTGTGATTGTGAAGGCGGTGAACCCTCAGCCACACAGCGGACATTTCACCCTGAATGTTCCCATCATGCAAGGGGACACCGTTGCCAAGGTAGCCAACCGCATCCTCAAACAGGACCGAGGAATCAAAGGTACTTCATAGCTTGGGGCATCATTTCTCCTGGAGCTCACTTGCTACGGGCTGCTTTCTTTTTCCTTTCATTTTCTTTTGCAATTTCTTAATTGTAGTTATTTTTGTGTATGTTTGTGGGGGAAAAAGAGTTAGTAATGTATCTGTATTGCTTTCTCCCCAGATGCGAACAGAGTCCAGATTCTGCGATACGACGATCCTGAGCTAGGGCCGCGTAAGCTACCGAAATTCCAGCAGCCACTGGAAGGCCGAACGAGGATACCCAGCCAAGCAACATTCAGTATCACCATGGAAACCAAACGAGTATCCGTGTCTGAAAATGGCAAAAATGTGGATGCGGGATCAGTATTGGTCTATATGGTAGAATAAACCAATGATTTGTCAAATCATTGCAGTTAAAACTGCATTAGAGTCTTTTAAATACATGTATTTGAAATCAGCCTTTAATCTTTTAATTTTACTGATATTACAGGGATAATGTATGCACTTTTCCTTCCTTAAAACCCACAAATGTATGCTTCCTGTGATACTCGGTTGTCTCTTCCTGTGCTGTGTATCTAAGGCATGGACACCCAGTTTTCTTCCAACTTTGGATATTTAAAGGATATTTATAAGAAATTTTCTGAGGAACACATTTGTGATGCGATCAAGCTACATGAGTCGTTTGTCGACCCTGGTCAAATTGTTTTTATTACAGATTTGAAAAGAGCACAATCTCAGCATTACTGCTGTGAAAACTGCATGCTGATACCATCTTGAGTTCAAAAATTATGGAAGTCGGAACACCAAGAGATGTGATGAAGTGATGTGATGAAGTGGCCCTATTTTGGCTTGTAACTCCAAATAAAAATTCTTGACAAACGACTCATTTAGCTTGATTGCATCACACTTTGAGCAACTTTCTACTCTTAAATGAGTGAAAACTATTTGACATCCCTTTTTGTTTAATTTGATTGAAAAGTGTACTTCTTTGAACATTTAAAATTATTCATGTTTTTTTTTTTTTTCGGACAACTGAGTGCGCTGTTGCTGTGATGTCATTTCAGGAAGACACTGTTCAGTTTAAGAGTTTTCTGTTGAAAATGTGAACCAAAAATGTGTTCATTGAAAACATTTGTGAGAAATGTTTGTTCATTGGCTTACTGCCATGTACTGACACGACGACAAAATCACCAAAGAAAAGAAAACTTACAACAGCACGATATCCAAAAGTCTGGCAACATTTGATGCTGAAATAGCTGTCAAATTGAGGGTTCTGCCTGGAATGACATCACACTTTTCCTCAAGGCACCAAAATTCCCTTGAAAATGGCAAAACAACAACTGAAAATAACATTAAATGGGACTCTAAGGTGCATTTCCTGGGATTACGTTAAAAGAATTACATTGCCCAGGCCCTTTAATGATATCGGAGCTTTTGTAGACAACACAGATTTCTCCCATGTGTTCCTTCTTATTGTCACAAATATTGTTGACCAAAATAACTGACGACAAGAGGACAAGAATCCCTTAAAATTGTCAAATCAATAAGTTAATGCACTTCAGCGACTCAGTGGTATGCTGCAAGGATTGCAGGACTATTCCTGGTTTCGTCTATAGAACAATTGCATTCAGCACCCATGTTTGAGGTGTGGTTTGTTATGTTAATTCATTAACAATGAATGCAGAAGAGGTATGTTGGACAAAAGCACACACCTCAAACATGGCTGCATTGCAAACAGTCTATTACTTTAATCTTTTAATTTGTTATATAAAGTTAATAATCGAGTCCTAGATGTTTTTTGAAAACACAACAGGCATAGGCTCCTAATTTGAAAAATGTTAGAGTAAGCAGTAAAAACTCCGTATGCACAGGGTCCGTAAGTATTGATATCTATACAGATACATTTTATGACTGTTTTGTTGATAATTTTCATGGTGACAGATTTTTCAAACTATTCTTGGATATTTTTCACGTTTTGCCGTAGTTTCAACTTCATCAGTTTGGTGGATTGTGGTATTTCTTTAAGACTTCACATATCTTTAGCCACGGGCTTTACTGTCATGCTGGAATATAATCATTTTCTTAAAAGAAAAAAAAAATCCTTTCTGAGAGGGGGGGGGGGGGGGCAGAGTTATTTTCGGAATTTGACCAAACAATTCAGAGGTTTTTATGAGAGGCTTGTGCAAATTTAATTAATTTTGTTAAATAAGAAAGGGACACAAAAGGGAAAATATATACCAGCGTTTTGAAATTTATAAGCAAATCATGGGAACCTAAACTTTTGCAAGGTGAAATCATAATTTGTTTAATTAATGAATCACTTGTCATTCAAGCAGTTTACAATAAAGATTTCAGGAAAAGAAATTGGAAAACTTGCTAATCTGTGATTTATTTATTATTTGAAAAAAAATAGGATTAAATATAATCAGTGGCTTATTCACTTTTAGCCAAGAGAGAACAATGTGCAGATGAGAAAGGAGCGAAAACGTTCAGTTTACTAAAATATGAGGTATTTTGTCAATATTCTGAAGAAATATAAAAAGGCTGAAAAGCTACAATAACCCTCGTCCCTAAAGTCAACAGAGGGCCTCCTATAATTTATGAGAAAATAGTTGACAAGGACGTTTCCGACCATGGTCGTGTCTATTTAGCAAAATAGGGGTGTCGTGCAGTTATTATTTTTTGTTATCGTTATTATTCAATTCAATTCTAGAAGGTGTTATATTTTAATGATACGATACATTTATATGTGACAGAAAATGTATTACTGGTGTATGTTTTTGCATTATGAATCATCAACATCCGATTTTGTTTCAAAATTTTGGAAAAATGGAGCCCCTATGATCATGTATTATCGTCTCGCACCTCTGGCAACGATAAACAAGTACACGTGAATGACATACATGCATGAAACGGAATTAGTTTCGAAGACGGAGGTCGGACCGTTTGGAGAAGTTGGAATCCCGGAGAAATTGTGCTCTTCATCGTAACTTCGTCCAATTTGGTGTGAACAGAAAGACCGGACAGAACGTACAGACTGCAGGTGAGTCGCTGGGGCATATTTCTCAAAATTGAAAAGACATGCAGAATTCCAATTAGGCCTAGGCCCTACCTACATGACCTAATGTAATTTTGTGATGCATTAAACTTGTGATTCATCATTTCGATGATTGACTTCCTGATCCTTGCTCTATCAAAATTAAGTATCAGTGTCTATGCTCTGTATCTGAGAAAAAGGGAAAGAATGTTGCAACCTGACGCTACTTCTGCGGTTGTGTACAAAGTCTATGGAGAGTCCAGAACATTTTCTAAGTTAAACACAATTGGAAATATTTCTCAATCTCAGTCCCAGATTCATTCATATCATTTTTGCAATCACTGACCTTCAATCCCCTTCATTGAATGATTTAGATGATTGATTATGAAGAAAAAAGCAGCGTCAGGTTGCAACATTCTTTCCCTAATGCTTCCCTTCAGTGACCTATCACTATCAGCCATCAGAAAGTGACAATAGGCCTATGTCTTCAAAAGTCCAATTTAGCAGGGAAGCATTTACTGAGAAAACATTTAGAAATTTTCAGTCCAGCCTCATACTACTACTACTAGGTTTGTGCAATTAAGTGATGGCCAGATATGGAAATCTTTCCATATATCAGTGTTGTAGTCGAGACCGGATAGTCCGAGACCGAGACCAAGACCGAGACCTGAAGTTGCGAGACCGAGACCGAGACCGAGACCGAGACCAGCCCCTTCAAGGCGGACCGAGACCGAGACCGAAATGGTCCGAGACCGAGACCGAGACCGAGACCGCGGATAATAAATAACAATAATCTAAATAAACAACAAGACACTAATTACAGCTGAACAGTCTGTCCTTGAGATGTTGATGTTCATGGGGATGTGAAGGAAGTGATTGAAAGTTAGGAATCACTTGTGCCTGTTTAATTGTGTCATCCGATTGCTCTTCGTGTTTGCTTCATGCCATAAATTACAACATGGCAACAGAATTTGTTATTGTCACAATCAATTAAAAAAATTGGAAACAACCTAATTTAAAGAAGGGGAAAACCTTATTTGATGAACTCCATATATTTTTGCCACTTTAAAAAAAAAATTAAATTGTTTAACTACTATAAAGTGTAAATCTGATGAAGAAACTCTAACTTAGGAGTACGACAATTTGTACTAGTTTTTGCAAAACTTGAACATGTTGAAACTTGACAAAAGTAAAAAGTTAAAGGTGGATGTTTCATCTGTTATAGGAACTCGGACCCTAAACTCCACAGCCACCCCTTGGTTTCAGCAATGACCACTAACGGATATTCAAATGCAACTTTAATTTTACATTGGACCTCCTTGTAAACCTGATTCGAAAAAAAATTTGGAGCAAGAAAATATTGATTTATTTTTTAAAATTTCAGTCATGGAATATAGATTTGTACATGTAGACCAACAAATTGAGAGATGGTAGCCAGATATGGATTGGTCTGCCCCCCCCCCCCATCCCTCTTTGTGATTCTCCTTCCAACCCTGCATGTTTGTGTGTCCCCAACATGTTTGTTTCTTGTTCCTCTGTCATTTACCTCTGAAGAAGGCCTGGCTAAGGCTGAAATGTAATGCCACTTTATTTTTGTTTAATGTCAATAACGTTACATATACTATAGAAGATTGATGAACCCTATTTGCCTGATCTATCTTCTGTTAATCTGCCCGCTGTCATTGTCACGCCCCAACTATCGCATCGGTCCCAACTATAGTTGGGCCTGTCCCAACTATAGTTGCGCCTGTCCCAACTGTAGTTCCACAGTTGGGCTGGCCCAACTATAGTTGGGCCTGCCCCAACTATAGTTGGGACGGTCCCAACTGTAAGTTCCATTGTTGGGCTGGCCCATCTATAGTTGGGCCACTCCGATCTTTTTTTTTTGCGGTGTCCCAACTATAGTTTACATTGATGTACAACCATAAAACGTTCCCTACAGCTCTGATACACGTCTGACTTTACTGGGGACCACTGAAATTAGCTATTGATGGGGCGAATCTATAGTTGGGCCACCCCAATCTTTTTATTTTGCGGTCCCAACTATAGTGTACATTGTTGTACGATTATAAAACATTTCCTACAACTCTAATACATCTGACTTTACTGGGGACCAATGAAATGATCTATGGGTGGGGACCATCTGTAGTTGGGCCACCGCAATATTTTTATTTGGCAGTCCCAACTATAGTTTACATTGATGTACGACTATAAAACATTCTCTACAGCTCTGCTTATTACATGTCCGACTTGAGACCTTTGACATTAGCTATGGTAGGGGCCCATCTAAAGTTGGCTGGCCATGGCAATCTTTGAATTTTGCAAAATGTTGCTGGATAATAAAACCCAGCAGCTGGACAACTCATCCAACTAGGCAGTACCACGTGACCGGCCAGCCTTGCGGCATGCATGCACGACGAATACACGGTGCCAGCGCCGCGGAACATTTAAAATCCAACAAGATCTATCAAGCATGAAGCATCCGGCGCAACTCCAGTCCTAACTATAGTTGGGCCGACCCAACTGCCGCACTATAGTTGGGACAGTCCTAACTATAGTTGGGACCGATGCGATAGTTGGGGCGTGACATCATCATCGTCATTAGCCTATTTGAGAATATGGCCGACACAATAGAAGGGCGCTGTCACAAACTGAATGTGGTGGGCGAGATGTACTTTTAGGATTCATAGCTCAGTGCGCACCCCTCTGTGTTTTGTACCGTGCCATCGTATCAACCGCATCAGCTACTTTGCTGGGCAATTTACTTGAATATTTTATTAGTGATTAACAAGTACGACATATTGCCAATATATTAATAGTTTATTGTGATGGCCGTAAACAGCATATAGCGATTAATGGAACACAATTCTTTTCGACTCATGCAAATGCAATTGACATTTAGGAAGGAGACGAGGCAGGCAATTAGACTCTATTTTTGTGTGACTATGGCAGTAGCTCAATTTGTGTTTATCACAGATGAAAAGATGAATACATGGCGAGTCAAAAGAAAGTGACCGTATGATAAAAAAAAAATGGCATGCTCCATTTCGTAAAAAATATAATTGGGATAAAGAACATGTCAGTATTGAGTAGTAACTGTGAACATTTCACGTAATTTGCATACTCTATTCCCAAGTCGTGTCTATCTTAATAAAGAGATCACAAAATTCAGCTGTCCACCACTAATGCCAATTTAACAGTCTACGAATTGATAAATATCCATTTATAAATATAATGAAAAAAAACAACGTTTTCCCGCCTCCACGAATAAAGGAAAAATTGAAAAGGAAAATAGAAAAAAAATCACCAATATTTCTAGAGAAAAAGAGTTGAATTGCTCCCATACTCAAAATACAAAATCTGACGGTAAAAATAATGTTTCAGTCTTGATTCATAAGATTTAAATCTCAGTTGTATTTGGAATCAATGAGGATGGCTATAAAGTGCTTGTTTCAACAGATCATCCCACAATAAAAACGAGAAATAAGAAGAGGAGCAATGGTTATTGGACTATGCCTCACTCACTAGAAAGTCAAGAGAGACATGTCCATTAGCATCACACTGCAGTCACATTTGCCCTAAACTGATTCTTTACTTAACCCTAAAAGGGCCGGGGGCGGAGTCCGCCCCCCTCACTTTTTGGCTGGTCTCGACTCGAGACCAGCCAAAATATCGAGACCAAAGGGGACCGAGACCGAGACCAAGACCGAGACCACAGCTCCCGAGACCGAGACCGGCAAAAAGTGGTCTCGAGACCGAGACCGAGACCGAGACCGGTCTCGAGACCTACAACACTGCCATATATTATCTCAATGAAGGTCAGTCATTGCAAAAAATGTTGGAAAGACATGAATCAGGAACTGAGAAACATTAAAATACTTTGAAATTGCACTCAACTACCAATACCATGTCATGGGTAGATCGCCAACCTTTTCTGCCATTGTTGTGCAACAAATTTAACATTTTAAAGAACATTTTGGTGGTTGAAAGATCCCAATTTACATCGTTTATTTGTGGTAAAAATTACGATCAGAGCCACTCCCTGATACGCCATCTCTTGGGTGCGGCCTTCTTGGTTTGACATCATGAAAAGTTGTCATTTATTTGCCAATTGATGTCTCACGAGAGTTAACTGGGTTCGGAAAGATGACGTCATCATCTTGTAGGGGAAAATATACTCATCATTCCGATGTTCGTCTCGGTGAATTTCACTAACAATTGATTGGGAAATTTTTCTTTTTCCCAAATGCTGAAAAAGTTACATTTTTGTGACATTTTTTAAGTTAAAATCCTCAAACTACCGTACTTGCATAATTGATGAGAGGTAAAAATCTCATTCAAAAATCAGGATTCCTATGATAGGCCCTTTGTTTTTGATAGGTTTGGAAAATGTAGAGTTATAAAAGTAATAATATTGACACTAAAAATGACCGAATTGCTACAAAGTACAATGCTATATTGTTACATTGCATATCTCCAAAATGTAAGCACCTATGTAAATGATTTAAACGTTATTTATTTTGTCGTGTGATTCTCTTTTCAGTGATACTTAATTTGTTAATGATCTCTTTGAAAAAGTGAAATCCACCTTACCCCCTGCTCTTGCTGACAGACCAAAACATTAAGGGGTCTGACCATTTCGACCCGAAGCAATTTGAAGCTAACGGTGGTTTGCGGCTCCCTGCCTTCATAGGGCAAAAAAAAAGTAGTTCTGCTTCCGATTACATGGCATTTGAAAATAGGGTAGGTAGGTAGGGACATTTTTTTTTTTGGCCAATTTTGTTTGTGTACGATCATATGGAGGGGTCTGCCTGAAGTCAAGGGTATAAGGTAAAAATTGATGGTTTTTGGTGTTTTTTTTCTCATTTTTCCCATAAAAAAATTAGGGTAGGGGCTGTCAGAATGGGGTAGGCCCTACTGTAGGTAGGGAAACCGGAAGCAGAACTAGTACTTTTTTTGGCCTAAGCAGAATTGACTGGCTGTGATTGTTATGAAACCTGATGTAT